ACGCCGTTGCTAAAGATTTATAGACCCTATCATCCTAATGTAAGTTTCCTAGTCAAGATTGCTTATCAGAACCGTCATTAGTCCCTGCATATAGAATTATAACCGGTAGGTAGTGATTTTAGTAACTAATCGAGCCTCATCCTTTCTAGTTCCCCCTTAAATTTTACTGTCCCAGCTCCAACATTACTCCTTTAGTTCCCGGTTTGTCAGTCCGTCTACGTGGGGCCAGTGGCTCGATTAAAAGTTTCAGCTTATTGTATACNATGCGGTAGTTATGTCAGCCCACACTTGACTTGTTTACCACCGAGTTCTTAGTAGCTCAGTGGTTAGAGCATGCGACTAGTGTACAGAAGATCGTGGGTGGGTTCAATTCCCATCTGGAACTCAGAATTTTTTTCTGTGTTCTCTCCACCCATATCATTTCATTTTTTATACTTTATATTTTGCCTCTATTTTATTTACGTGATTACAATTTACGTGCGGAGCCAATAACGCGTCAGTGAAAATCAACCTTAAGGCACCTCTGAGGTGGTACGCTGTTGTTCGTCCTCTCAGCAGTAATCTTAACTGATGATGAAACAATTCCTTTAAGACTCTTGTATGTTGTGACTAGCACATTCTGAACACGCCGTTGCTAAAGATTTATAGACCCTATCATCCTAATGTAAGTTTCCTAGTCAAGATTGCTTATCAGAACCGTCATTAGTCCCTGCATATAGAATTGTAACCGGTAGGTAGTGATTTTAGTAACTAATCGAGCCTCATCCTTTCTAGTTCCCCCTTAAATTTTACTGTCCCAGCTCCAACATTACTCCTTTAGTTCCCGGTTTGTCAGTCCGTCTACGTGGGGCCAGTGGCTCGATTAAAAGTTTCAGCTTATTGTATACGCAGTGAGTTGGAACCTCAAAGAACTCTGGATACAGCCTTAGATTGATCCCGTAGGCTTGACTTTTTTACTGTTTCTAAAAGAGCGACACTGCTGGCTCGCGGGAGGGGGAGGGGAAGGGGACAAGGCCCAGGGTACAAGGGTTCATTAAGAGAGGCTTTCGTTTGTATCATCTGCTGCTACCCATGGGAGTTGAAACAATTCGGTGATTCACCTTGGGTCAGGCAAGGAACTGGAAGGTACTTGCGATAATCCCTTGCCACAGTCGGCTGTGCATAAGCGTCATAGGCGTACAAGGAAAGTTGGGAGTTAAGGCGTACTATTGTTCTCTTCTCTTTGTAGTGTCTTTTGCTTTAGGGCCGAGAGCAATTCAATTCAATTACAAGCATTTTGATTGCAACCTTGCAGTTGAAGCGATTTAGGATCCAACTTGCGGCTCTCCTTAGGAACATGCATGTAATAAATGCTTGCACACATTCATTAAAATTTACCCCGATAACTCTAATTCTGGTTCTTGTAACTCTACTCGGCTACCATCCATTAATGCCTCCTTTTGTATAATGGTAAAAACACTAAAACAAACACTAGTCAACATTTTAGTTGGTACCGGCAACGAACAGGTCACGTTACCGTTTTATCATGTTACCGTTTCCGGTGAAATAAGTTAGATTTGCACTGAAGTGCTGAAAAATCAGTAACATGGCAAATTGAGTTTGGCTGGGGTAAAACCTTTGATTCTGCCCCTATTGTTTTGTCACATTCTACATCATTACCATCTTTCGGAAAGATTTCAGAGGGCACAGCTCTCCCGTCGCCTCCCTCTCCTCTTCACCAACACGTATGTTTTCCTGCCAATTGTTCTTATGCCTGATCATAGAGTTCTGCCATTCATCACCTGTCTCGGCTTCTCTTGCACCCTTGTTTTTCCGTACCCTTGGCCCCGAAAGGTTTGGTGGTCTGTTCATGCACTCTTCGAGGGCTATGTTTTGGCACCTAAAGGCGCTAAAGGCGTTGTTCTGACCCCTACTCGTGCAGGATTTTCCGCAACGTGGCCTTTGCCTTGGGATTTGTGGGTGTTTTTCCAGTCTAGCCGTGTTCATCCCCTCCCCTTCCCCACAAAAAAGGAAATAACTCTTAGCTCTGTAAAAACCTTCTCGGCTTTTTTTCTTTGAAGGATCTTGACTGACTTTTTTACGATGAATTGTAAGAGTAAGTCGAAATATATTATTTGTCTTTTACTAAAGTGTTAAGAAGCTAAGTTTGTATAGTACTGAGATTGTAATAAAAAATTACTCCGACAATCTCGTTTTTTGCTTCTTTTGTTTCTTCAGGCCCTACCATTCAACCCGGCTGTCAGTTGTCCTGCCTGCTCTTATCCTAATGATCACTTCTTTCGCATTTGCGAAAGTTGTGGCTACTTTCGGAAATATCCACTCCCACCAAGGCCCAAGGCCGTTTCGTTTTATTTGTAAGCAATTGATGAGAGAATTCAAGACCGTCAGCAACAGTACTAGTATTCTTCCTTAGCATAAGCTAAGCAAAAGGCTTTTCTTAAGGATGAACTATAGAGTTTCCTTTACGCTCTGAATGAACACTTTAATTTCAGTAGGGTGCATGATTACAGACCAACTGTACTCTCCCTTATGGCAAAAAATCCCTGCTCAGCGCTTTGCCGTCCTTTAGTATTTAAAGAACCTAAGTCAAAGACTCAGCCTCACAAGAATGGTTGTCACCACACTGGTAAGAAAGGAATTTTTTCCTGTGGATGTCCTCGTCGACTAGCGTACAAGTCTACCGTAGATTCCTATATTGGTAAACTGCGCTCCATTTTTGCCGGAGCTGGTCGTCAAGAAGACCGGGATCGCACCCTCCTACAACTGGTGACTTAGTCAAGATCTATCCGCTGAGCAGTTTCAGACCTGTGCGAGTCACTCCCAAGCAGAGTGTTCCGTTTTTTTTTTCCGATAAGCTTTTGCTGCTCTCTAACCACCTCAAGAGAAGGCTTGCTTTTCCTACCCTTAATGCCTCAGAACAGTTTGTTACCGCTTGCGATGAGGTCTTTTTCAAGACCTTATTCTACTCTGGTGACTGGGCGGGGGATCTTGGCCAGGTGAAAACGGCTGACATTGCGCTCTTCCCCGTGACAGTGGTTTTCTCCTTAATCACATCTGGGGGGAAAACCCTCCAAGATCGTGCTTCGAACCTGTTTGGTCTGCGGCGGCACCCTAAGTCCGCCTGTTGTCCTGTTAGAGCCATAGAGGAGTATGTGTTGCCTTTGCACGAAGATTGGGTGTTAGTCTCACCCATTCGCCTTACCAACTAAAAAGGGTAAGTTGTTGATAGGCCCCTCTCTAGTGCTGCTGCTGAACATTGATTAAAGTTATATCTCAAAGAAGCCCGCATTGACGCCGGGGAGGCTTTCGAGAGCTTTCGATCAGGGTGTGACCCCACACTTGCCTTTTTGGGCTCCGCCTTGGCCGACTTCGTGATGCATGTAGGACAGTCCTCCCCCGCTACAGCTGTGTACTATCTCAAGCTGGCTAATGTCATCAAGGCGGGTGCTTCTACTGATCTTCTCGGCCGGGATTCTCCAGCTGTGACTGAGGCGGCAGATCTTTTTTTTTTAAGGACTTCATTATCCTTTCCCTAGTCTCGCACCTTCTCCTCAGAAGCGCCTTCTATCGCTATTTCTTCCTCGTAAGGGGTGTAGGCTTAGGTTTGGGTAGAACTCGTTTTGGTCGTCTATATTTCGCTGGTTTTTAGATCGTGGCATAATTAAAGTTTACGGTGGGTGTTTTGAGATTGGGGGCTCTGGTTTTGGTCTCCTTCTCTATTTCCCCGTTGGCGATTGCGTCCTTCCCTGTCGTCGCCAGTCCTCCTAAAGGACTGCAGATAAGACTCGGTGTACTCAAATCAAGCCTGTAACAATTGCAAAGGACCTGGGAGTATATAAATCGTCATCTTAACTTTAACGAACATACCACTAAAACTGCCTCTGACTGTATGTTTAAACTAACGAGAGTTAATAGGATAAAGGATAATGGGATAAAGCATCTCTTAGATAAAAAAAAAACATGCTTTCTTCTTCAGCAAATTATTTTATTGTTCGACGGTATGGAGTAGCACGAGCAAGAAGAACGTGTTACACTTTACCAAATTAAGTGATTATACTCCAAATCTGCAACATCTTGACTACAGGACATTTCCTCACCTGATTAGAATGTTTAAAAGAAATTTGTTTAAAGAATACCAGGAATATTTGTCGAAAAGTCTGAGCAAGGATAAATTCGACTCCTCAGCTGGAAATAAATGAAGCCTGTATAGTGAAATGAAAAACGAAGTCAGATTTGAATCTTATCTTGATTTAATAAAGAACGTTAAGACAAGAGTGGCAGTAACCAAAATACGAATTTCTTGCCACTTGCTACCTATTGAATCTGGGCGCTACAAGAAGATACCCAGAGTTGAGAGGCTTTGCCCCCTTTTAGTAATAGATCCGAAATTGGTGATGAATTCCACTATTTGTTGAAATGTACCCACTCATCACTTTCTCATATAAGGGGTATTTTCTTACTTGATAAACAGTAATTTTACGAATATGTCCTGCAAGGAAATTTTTATATATCATGTCTATGGGCGATGAAAACATCATAAATCTCAGTGCCTCTTATATTGAAAATATTCTAAATTGTTATGTATCCGAACTGTAATTATAACTTTCTTAACATACGAGTAGCGTAGAAGCCGTACATAGCCAAGTAATTTTTCTTTTATGATAATATTCAATTGTTCCTTTCTTTCTTACTTAACTTTTACTTTACTTTTTTCATTTGTGATTGTATTGACTGTTTTGATACTGAAATCTTCATGTCGAAGATAAAGTCAATAAAGTTGTTGTTGTTATTGTTGTGGCTAGATCTCTCTGGACTAAATAGATTGTCTCTCGGGCAAATTTCAGCACTCTTGCGACCAAGAAAGGAAAGTTATATTGCGATATTTAACCTGAAGTGGCCTGATTCAGACCTGATACTGGGTAACATACTGTATACCATATATGACGGGGATGACGGGGCTATCTTCACGGAGAAACCGCTGATAACGACCCAACCGTGCACGTGGTTTTTCCTGTCCAAGATGGCGTCTGTTGTTGGCTGTCTTCTCGTTATAGGCTTTTTTCAAGGATCTGTGCTCGGTGAACAGCAACAAAACACACTCAACGTCCCGCAAGTTCTGTTATCTTACGCTCCAAGAGGATCTGTGCACACAAATTTTACACTGAAAGCTTTGCAGGGCTGTTACCTGTGGTAGGTCGAATTTTTGTGCAAAATTGGCGCCATTTTACGGTATTAAGCTTAATTAAACTTTATTAAGAGTTTGACAAAAGCAGCGAGAGTCATCTATCATGTTTTCCTATAGGTTATCTAACAGACCTGAGGTTGCTACTGTACAGCCTGTGTACAACAACGAGGAGGATACAACTGGTAAGGGAGCGTTATTATTCATCCACTCTAAATTCGAGATTGCTCCGAATCTCTCAATTTAGAAAAAGTTTTCTTGTTATACGAGCAAAAAAATTTAAAACAAATCATAGGATAAGAAATCTTTTTTCTGTAATTTAAACAGGCAGTTTGAATTTACGAGAACGAAATCTTATTCTATGATTTGTTTTAAATGTTTTTCTTAATGCCAAGCTGTAACAGTCTCAGGTGGTTGGGTCACGTCAAGTTTAGAGTATTTACCTAATCACATACGGCCGAGCGAACGAAGAGATAGTTCCTAGTCGAGACAGTTTTGCTCAGCTAGTGTTGGATGGTTTCAACAATGCAGACGCATTAACCCATTAAGAATTTCATTTTGAAAGTCTTGGAATTTAATTGTTGGCCATGGAAAGTCATGGAGAATTGAAATTATGTTTGTTAGATTAGTTCGTGCACACTCCAAAACAAGGAAAAAACAAGGACAAAACAGCTTTTAAAAATGGCACACATTTTGGTGGAGACTAAAGTGTTATCTGTTGAATTGAGTTAGGTAAAAATACCCCAAAACAGGATAGTTTTAAAAATTTTCTTAAATGACAGCTTTACCTAAAGTCATGGAAAACTGGAAAAAATCACAGAAGGTCGCTTTGAATTCGAATATCACTCTTTCCTTTTTCCTTACTAATTTGGAACTGTAACAATAAATATGTTCATACTCTCCTGTAGTTCCCTCGAAATCCATACCCCATTCCCGGTATACACATTTTAAGACCAAAGGGGTATGGCTTACATAAGGAGTACCCCCAGCCCCCCCAGGTAATACATAACCCAGTATATTTAAGCTAGTGAAGTTTGTGCTGAGGTGCACACAAGCTTTAACTGAAAAACTATGCAAATTTATAGTGAGAATTCCATCATAATGACAATGGGTAATTCCCAAATATCCATAAGATATCCCAGGTGGCTTCCTAATACAGTCAATCCCCTTTGCCTGTGGAATTTCAAGACTTTTGCCATGAACTGAATATCAAAGATTCATATGAAGTCTAGTCCCTGACAGTGACGAAGCTACCCAACTGGTTTGAAGTCTGTAGCTGATGCGACTTGAGGGCGTCTTGCAAAGGTCCTGCCAAGTAAGCATTTCTGGCTCAGTGGCCTCAAGGAAAATGCAGTGTGTATGAGAAGGGTTCAGAAGAGTGTCCAGATGAGATAGTAAAAACCAAAAATTACCTTTCAATCCACTGAAGTATGCCGTTTGTAACTGGCGGTAACTTATTGGCTGAGGTGAAGAAACAAGGCAATATTAAGGTTATGAGACTAGGAGTGGAGTTATACTGACCCCAGGTGAAATAGACAGAGTAGGAGCTGCGACAAAAACTGAGCAAATAGGGTATGCAACTTGGTGAAAGTTCATTGATAGCCTTATATACTAACAATAAGATTTTGTGAAAGGTTTGAACCCAGGAGTAATTTCAAAAGTAGGTTGAGTTTGATCGTCGTCGTGAATAGGACTGTTGTTGTTGACAGTGACTGACGTTTCGACAACCTGTGCGGTAGTCATCTTCAGAGTCAAAGTGAGTTGTATCACGTCAGTTGATGTTATTATACTCTGGTTATTGATTTGATTGGTCAATTACATGGTGATGTTATTGGCTATGAAGACTCATAATCAGTAATTGGTGCGTTTCGATCCGTCTATTGTCACAATTAAACAGTCGTCTATTGTCAGTCAAATCATCATTCTCTCGTAGTTAGTTTTGTTTGATCTCGTCAATAAGTCGTTTGTACGGCACTGGTAACTGTTGGCTACGATTCAGTGGCGTTTGTTCTAAGTTAGTAAACCAGCTTTCTAAAGTAAGACGTTGATAGTGGTCTGTAGAATACGTGATACATGTCGCAGAGTCCCAGTCAATTTGATGTTTCGTCTTTAAATGGTGCTCAGCAATGTGATTGTTGACGTCACCATTCTTCGTAGCTAGTTTGTGTTCGGTCAGTCGCTTGCTTAGGTTTGTGCTGGTTTCACCAATGTAAGAAGCCTGGCAGTCGCAGCATGTGATCTTGTATACTGCTCCCTGTCTGTCCTCCGGTTTGTCTTTGTCCTTGACATTAGTAAGCAGTCGCCGTAAAGTGGTTATTGGTTTGTGTGCATCACGTATATTGTAATGTTGTAATATACGTGCAATAGTTTCAGAGGTGCCTCTGATGTACGGTATAGTCGCTGTCGTAACAGGGCCAGAGTTCGTCTGAGTGTTGGAATCAGTGTTACTGTGAGTGTTCCATCTAACAAAGTCCATACAGTCCGTAATAATTATGGTATTCAACTGGCCACCAATTTAAGTCTATTAAACTGGTTGTTATAGGTTCATACATGTACTTAGCTTCTGGGTGAATGTTTTGATGCACACTGCTCTATTCTGAACTAGCTGTAGGTGGTTTAAGAGAACTTCAGGTAGTCCATATAGAATCGCATTACAGTAACTGAAGGTGGTAGTCACAAAAGCATGAATAATTGCTTCAGTAAATTCACGATCCAAATATGGATATGTAGAAGAAGTGTTTGTGAGTTAGGATGGACAAGTGCGCATTATCCTGGAAGTAAGCACAAGGGACCAGAAGGTTATACACCTATTAACAAGACTGTTGGAAGGGGGAGGAGGGGTGTAGATGGACACAGATCAGGCTTTGAGAGGGAGAGCTGTTTATGCGAGAATGCTGGTTAGGCAGCAACTGGTACAATTTCAAGTTGATTGTGGTGCAAGTCCAAATATTTTACGTCTGAAGTATGCTGAGGGGGAACGCGACTTGTGTTTGCAAACACTTGTCATGTGGAATGGAACTAAAGTGAGGCCTGACGGTTCCTGTGCGTTGCCTGTTGTGAATCGGAAAACTAATGAGAAGTACAAGGTCCGGTTTCTAGTCATGAAAGAGGATTTGACCCCTCTGCTTGGCTTAAATGCAACGCAGAAATGAAGCTGTTAACTGTACACAAGGAAAACTTCATTAATGTCATGGGGAATGCAAATGATGATCGCACAGCTAATTACGCGGATGTCTTTAACAAAGGTCTCTGAACACTTCCAGGAAACGTTCGCCTGCAAGTTGACCCAGATTGCAAGCCTGTTATCCTTCCAGCAAGAAAAGTCCCTGCGTCTGTTCGGGAGAAGTTCAAAGAAGAGCTCCAAAGGTTGGAATGTCTTAAAGTAATCACTCCTGTTGATGAACCGACCAAGTGGGTTAGTCAGATTGTTGTAGCTGTAAAGAAGTCCAGCGAACTGCGTGTTTGTATTGACCTGCGATCACTTAATACTGTCTTGAAGAGGGAAAGTTATCAAATTCCCGTCATTGATGATTTGTTGCCCGACTTGACAGATGCATGTGTGTTTACAAAGGTTGATTTAGCCTCTGCTTTTTGGCATCTGGAGTTAGATCGCGAGTCTAGTATGCTCACCACATTTTGCTACGCCATATGGGTGATATCTTGGCTCTGCAGCGTGCCAATGCAAATGCAAATGCATATCGTTAAAGTCTGCGTTGCATTTAAGCCAAGCAGAGGGGTCAAATCCTCTTTCATGACTAGAAACCGGACCTTGTACTTCTCATTAGTTTTCTCGCATAGTTACTAGCCCAAATGTCATTTCTGCTAGCCCCAAAAGCTTTTTGACGAGCAGAATTGATTTCACGTTCTTCTGTTATTCGAATTCCTCAAAAAAACACCACTTGCCCGTCGGGCAAGTTAAAAACAGAATTACCTAGCCCGATAACAAAATCCACTAGCCCCGCTAGAAGAACTGTTGTCCATACTGATCATAAGCCACTTGAGTCAATTTTCATGAAACCACTTTATCGCGCTCCTAAGAGGTTGCAAGGAATGTTGATCTGTTTGCAAAAGTACGATTTGGTGGTACAGCGCGAGAGGGGAAGCAGAATGTTCTTAGCGGACACTCTCTCTAGAGCTTATCTTCCCTTGTGTGCGCAGATTGAGTCAGAGTTTGAGATAATCAACATGATGAATTACTTGCCAATATCTGAAGCCAGGCTACTGCAAATTTAGCAGGAGACAGAGCAGGATGAATCGCTTCAAGTTCTAAAGGCAGTGATTCAGCATGGCTGGCCTGAAAATAAGAGTACCCTGCCGCTTCTAGCCTCTCCTTACTTCGATGTGAGAGATGAGCTGTCTGTACAGGATGGTCTGATTTTTAAGGGAGAAAGGGTAGTGGTACCCAAGGCTGCTAGGAGTGGTCTCCTAAAAAGTATTTACAATTCGCACCTTGGAGTTAATGGTTGCCTTAACAGAGTACGTGAGTCAGTGTCTTTATTGGCCTGGGATGACAGGAGATATCAAGAACTATGTGTCAACATGTGAAGCCTGCGGAAAGTACGAACAGGGTCAAAGGAAGGAAACACTCACCAGCCACGAAGCACCTAGTCGGCCGTGGCAATTCGTTGCAGGAGACCTATTTGAGTTAAATGGAAAAGGTTACCTTGTGACTGTGGACTATTTTAGCGATTTCTTCGAGCTCGACCATCTGAGAAGTACATCCTCTGTCTACATCATCAAGAAGCTTAAAGGTCATTTCGCGCAACATGGCATTCCCGAGCAACTCGTTACTGATAACAGGCCACAGTTTGTCTCGCGCGATTTCCTGAAATTTCTAAAGAGTGGGATTTTGAGCACAGAACCAGCAGTCCGCATCATGGTCAGTCAAATGGAAAGGCTGAGTGCGCCGTTAAGCAAGCAAAGAAAATTTTGTTAAAGTGCAGCAAGACTGGTTCACACGCGTTTCTTGCTTTACTGGACCACAGAAACACACTGCCTGCGAGTATGCAAATCAGCCCAGCACAGCGGCTATTTAGCAGAAGGACAAGAAGTCTCCTCCCGATGACTGCCATCTGTTTCAGACGAGGACGTGACACATACCAAGCCGCCAACAGCAACAAGCCAAGTACTACAACAGAGGTGCACGAGATCTCCAGCCCTTAGAGCCCGGAGATACCGTGCGAGTTGAGCCCTGGCACGCGGGAAGAAAAGAGTGGCAAAAGGGTGTCGTAAAGAGACGCATTGACAAAAGATCTTACGAGGTTGAGTTGCCTCAAGGACTCCTTCGACGAAATCGTGTTGAGCTAAGCAAGTCCAATGAAGCGCCTATCAAAGTTGAAGATGACGACATCATAGAGGCGCGCGAGCAGTCATCCACAGAGACACGCGAAGATACGCGCGAACAGGCACCTCCAGATACACGCGTGGAAACATTTGACCAGCCGCACGATCTGTTGTCTTCGGTGCCGGACGTACCTAAGTAGCCCAATCCTTTACAGGCACCGGGAAGGTCCACACACGTCCGTCAGCCACCCAAGCGTCTACAGGACTAGGTGCTTGCTTAAGCCTAAGAACTCTTTCCAAAGAACTGAATTTCATTAATATGTGCTTAGTCGTTTGTTTTTTATTTTCCGTTAAGTCGTTTTCTTATTTCTCTATAAAAGGGAGGGTGTTATAATATTGTAATTTTCATGCCCTGTGTTGAATTTCTTTGCACATGCTGCTAGACTCATTATATATTCAGTTTTGTTTGTACCTTTGGGGCACTTGATAGAGATTAAAATGTCTGTTCAGTAACTGCTTGAACGTGTAGTTTGCTGTGTTATCACACTGAGTATATCCACTAAAGGATAACAATGTTTTGGAAATTTTTTGTTATATTATATAATTTTTTTATTTACTGTGATATGTATAGTTATTTTTAAAGGTTATGTAATGCTGTTGTCATTCTTTGCCAGGAAAAGTAATAAAGTCAAGTTTTCTTAGCAGTGCTTATATAAAAAGGAAATAATATGAAATGGTACATAAATATATCATAAATTTCTGTAACTGAGACTGATAATGTCTTTTCTTTCAATGCTACTCTGCTACCAGCCTGTAACAAAATCAATTTAATGCTGTGTTCTAAAGTAATTAGACTTCAATTATTGAAAGTCAAGGAAAACATCCTGTCCAAAAACTCCATGGTCAAATAAGGCTAACTGATTCCCACTTTTCACATCACTTGTATCCCCTTTGAAAGTCTTTTTAGCTGTTCTCTTCCTGTGTCATTTTCTCAGCAGCCAGACAGTTTGGTAGAAAATGTTCAAGAGAAGCTCTAGTTACTGCACAGGCAAGGCTTCCAGAGAGACAAATGACTGAAATCTTAGCAGAAGAGGAAGGTAAAATTTCTTTACTCAAAATGATTGTCTTTCTTTAAGTGAAAGTTACTGGTATTATCTGGCAAGTGGACTTTTAGACTTTACTATAATTACCTGCTCATTATTAAACAGTCGTGAGGTGTGTACGGCATTACTCAGCCAATCAGGTGTAAGAAACTAAACCACAAACAAATATAGTACTTATTTGTGGTGTTGTGTCCTGATATTTGTTGTATTGTATGCAGTCACAACACAATAAAGAGTTTGAGTAATTGTCAAGAGTAGAGAGTCAAGAGTCTGATAAAGGCAAGTCGGAAGTCTGACATAAGACATACTCAATGCTTAGAGAAATAAATAGTTACGTTGAGTCGTTGTTTGTGTTCAGTTGTGTTCTCAGCTGATGTTTTTTTATCCTTATATTTCGGTGGTTGTCAATATTTACTGTCTTCTTCGGTTCAACATTTCCCACAAAATTAAAAAATTGATAACAACAACCTGAAATTTCAACATTGAAAGGAAGTAAAAGGAAGTCTGCATGGACTCCCAAAGTGGTTTTTGTGGTTACGTCACATCATCCGGCAACTGCCGTCAAGTTACATTTTTGCTCTTACCTCTTTTGTAGGATGACATCGGAGGTCTTTTAAAAATTGTTTTTAGCAGAGGCTGATTTTCTCTTTGACTCCAGTTTGCCATCAATGTCTTTTTATTAGATCTTGTACCGCTGGGTGATATGTTGTAACGAAAGGAAATAGTCTCTCTATACTTTTTTGCTTTTGTTTTAGTGCCGATTGTCTTATAATACAGTTTGTTTAGGATACCTGCGTGCTTCAAGGCATTGTTAAAAGTTCACAAAGCACTCTTTAAATATTTTTGAAGAGTTTGTTCTAACCATTCTTATTGCTTCACCTGTAATAAAACCTCTTTTTACCCCCGGAGGGTGGTAAGAGGTAAAGTGTGTACATGTATATTGCAAGGTTTTGGTCGGCTTATAGTGGGTTGTGATGTCCAAGATGGATTTCTCTGTGAATCGCTCTCTTTTGAAAACTACATGTATGGTGAGTTTCAAGGAAAGTTATTTCATTCTTTGATATTTTGGCCGTGAACTTTATTGTGAGATGGAATTTGTTAGTTTCTTTAATAAATCGTGTTGGAAGTTGTGTATTTTTTGCTTTATACTTTAGCAGTAACAAAGTGCATCTCACTGCTGTTATTCAGGGAACATGGCGAAATAAGTTATTTTTTATCAATTATACATAAATTATTATTATCATTATTATTATTATTAATTATCACAATTATAATTATTTATTATTTCACACTCTTGACATATCACTCTCGACAATCACTCTTGACAATTACTCAGACTCCACAATAAATATTTCTGAGTTACATTACACACAGGTTTTAGTTGTACAAAGTATTTCAGGTGTTCTCAGGTTTTTTAAGTTTTGATCAGCTATAACAAATATTATTATGTACATACCCATTTAGCAGCTCGCGGTGAAGATATCTGCCTGTACATTTTAGATTACATTTCATGCCTGTATTGGAATGGACTACAGAATGACTGATCTACTGCAAAATTCAGGAGAAGCCAAGGAAAGAATTGCTAACATTACTTGAAAGAAACATTTATGTATCTGTTCTATACAGTTGAAAAAATAATGCCATGTGGTATGTTTATGGCGGTTAGTCATTATTTCCATTTCGGTCCACACTTGTGAACTCCTCTCAGATGATCAGCAGCAATATCTGGTGGGAGGTAGGGGTATTTAGCAAAGCTTGTCAGCTACTGGAACAGTTCACTGTCTACAGGCCAGCTGGTCTCACTGGAGGTCCTCTGAGATCCTGAGAACTCATCATCCTTAGCTGCAGTTATTAAGAGCACTACGACTCTTAAATCAAAATGTCACAAACTTATTCAACGTTGTTATCTCTTTAGTGACAAGTATGATTTTGCGAAGTGATGTCTTTGTGGACACTATCAGTAAGATCGAGATCTTAACTACCACAAGAGAGTTGCTGCTTGGAGAACCTCCAGAAGTTTGTCATATACAGGCATTTGACACTGAAGGTAACAATAACATCTTTATATAGCATTGTTTAAAGAATTAACAATGTAACCTTTCTAGTAAATTTATCTCTACCACATCTGTTAGAGTCGTTTTTCAGAAAGTGGGGATTTAACACAGTTGACAGTTTCTCTCAGTTGTGTCAGACATCACCAGATTAGAAAGGGTGGTGTAATAATGGATAAAACATTGTCTTGAAAAGAGCTTGTGAGCACAGTGGATAAAAAGATCCCCTCTAGATTAGTATTAGTGTTTCAAGGGCAAAAAGTCCTACCAAATTCTGCTTGCATGGTTGTCTAGAATAGCTCCTGTGGTGTGTATAATTGAGGGCCATTGCTGTCAAGTTGTATTAGGCTGGCACCATCTCTATGCCATAACTTCCTAAAATCTGTACTTGCTTAATATCAAATAATGCATCTGCTGAATGGCATGTTATCTGCGGAGCCAGACTCTGTTTAAACCTGCTCTTTTATTGCTAAACCAGATTTTCTGTATAAATAAATAAACTAATTAATTAAATAAAATTGTCCTCAATTATTTTGCCTTGTCTTTACTCTTCAACCGCTGTAGTTCATAAAAGTGAGAGCAAAATGTTCAAAACTCAAGTGAAGCCATAATCTACAAGCAACTGGTTTTACTGCAAAGCAGTGAGCAGTGTTTTGCTCTGCATAGGAGTGTTGCATATTGGATTGTACAAGCATACATTTACTTTGTTTATAAGTTACGCCTGCATTAGAAATCACTTAAATATGTTATTAGAAGGTTGAACAGCAAGAGATTCCTTCTGGGTCTATTTTCTTTTTGTTTCCTTTGGAAGTAAAGGGGTAGGCAGGGATCAGGAATTGGAATTCAAGCTTTCGCCGATCAACAGCATAATTATGTAATAAGAAGCAGGGCTGTGCTCTAGCAGAGCTCAGTGGCCCCTGGCACCTAACTTTTGCTCTTGGGCGGCTGGGAAATACAAATCATATGCTGGGCACCCTTGATTTTACAGGTTCAGAGCACTGGGCTCCCCTCAGTTTTCCTTAGAGCACAGCCTTGGGAAGGTCGAACAGCGAGAAATTACATGATACCATTAATCGGTGAAAACTTGGTTTCCAATTTTACTTTTTAAAAGCCGCAGTTTATTAAGGCCACGTCATTAGAACAATATTTTTTATTTTTAATCATGCTACTGAAGGACAACATGAACAGATTAATAAAACTTTTTACTAGGGTACATTTTCTCTATTGTTTTAGGGTCTGAAAGCAAAAGGTACACTTGTAAATTACACTTGTAAAAGTTTTGTTAAATTGACCCCTGGCTTGTAAAAGATGGGGGAAATCCCCAGCCCTTAGAACTTAATGAAAGTACCCTAATTTGCCATACGAAATACAAGGTTAAGCAGCAAATAGTTAAAATGAACTTCTGGATTGTTGCTTTTGGAACAGGTAATGTGTTTTCTAGTCTGGATGGTGTTGAATTTGTTTGGGAACTTAAAACTGTGGAAGGAGTTGGATCAGTTAATGCTGAGTCTGTCTTACGGTGAGTTATGTACCACAGGGCTCCTGGCACAGTCCTGAAAAGAATGTGTATAAGTTGTTTAAAATTAATAGAACCTTGAGAAGTGCTTAAATTCTCTAAAAATTATTGGAAAATCTTTGAGATACATGTAAGTAATGGTGTATGGAAGAATTAAAGAGAATTTTTATCAGCATGGATCTTAGCAGTGTTCTTCCTTTCTAATAAAAATTGCTCAGCAATCTGCAAAAGTGACAAAATAACTTCAGTATATGTATCTTACTAACAACAACAACAAGAACTACTTTATTATTTTGTCTGGGTGGTTTACAGACTGAAATTAACATACTATACATGTACATGTAGCTAACTACTAAACAAAGGTAAGTTAACAGTTTGCTGAAGTACCGTGTATCATAAATTAAAGAAAACTAACATGATTGACACTTGTGATGATCTAATTATGTTACTCACTCCTTTGTTTGTTGTTTTCCTTTCAGGTTTATGCAGTTTGAGTTTTCAAGCTATGAAACCTGTCCCGAGATATATTCTTTGGAAGAGAAGGTTTTTATTGTTCATATACATGTGTACATAGTATCTACTGGTACACGTGTGTGGGCTGAAAATAGACTTTACATGTAGTTGTCTTCTGAAGTACAGTGTATAGTTGGGTAGTATTATAGAGGATTCTTTCCTTGAATAATTAATTTTAATAACTAATTACAGTTTTATGCTGTCTTAAATGGTAGGAAAGACTGATACATGTACATGTTGACTGGTAATTCTTTGTTGTTGTTGTTTTTTTCACACGAAAGTGCTTGTTAGGGTGACACCCCAACCCCAGGAGTAACAAAATATTATTATGACTTCATCCTCACTAATGGTAAAATGCATGTACATGTACATGGAACAAAATACATGGAACAGGACCCTGATATTTTCCCCCTGTTTTAACGATAATGAGAACTTTCCATTCACTTTGTTCACTTTGATATAATTATTAGGGTTGCACTGATTTTGTTGGAATGGGGACTTGGTAGGGATTCTCTGAGTTTTCATTTATCCAAGATACATGTACCAGTACAGTAATTACTAACTATGGGAAATAGCGGTGCTTTGTGTTATTTCTTAAAACTTTAAAATAACAAAAATGTAGATATAATGGCTCACTACAGCACAATCTAAACACAAATGGACATCCAACCAATAAGTTTTTGGGAGCAACAACAACTGCCAGTAAGTGGGGAAAATGTTACAATCTACATCTGTATTAAGATTTTGGTGCTTGTGACAGCCACCAAATTGTAGTTGTACATTCACCCAAGTGAATTCATTCCTTTTCACTAAAAGGAGAGCTCAGTTTAACATGATACTTGAATCTGATTGTTTAGGGTCCTGTATCAGTACTACTGACTCTGATCATTACAGGTACTATCTTTATTTAAGGGCTCTCGTGGAAGCAGTATTGTTGTTGAACCAATAAACACTGGAACGGCGATTGTCAAGGCAAAACTTAAGGATAAAGCCTTTGCTGTAAGTGATTTTGTTCGAATAGCAGAAGAGTGTTATTACAGTAAAATCCTGCCCTACAACCTCCCCCTGTACGTGACTAACTTGTTACTGCAACCTCATTTTTTTGCCCTACACTTATATTTTCAACTCTTAATATTTGAAAAACCTTTAGTATGATCAACGCTCAAATGCAACCAGAGTTTCGTGGCTTAGCCTGCGTAGCAGGCCCTTGGAAGTAGTGGGCGGAAGAAAAAAACGGGCGCGCAAGAAGGAGATACGCGAGGGGAGAGGGAGCGCCTGCCCGGAAGGCCCATGAAAATCATCTCCCACACCCAACCTGATTACCTGGCAGGCGTTGCGTGACATCAAAAGTTTTGACAGACATTTCTTACTAAGCAGACCTAAACTTCAGAACTGAAACTGTACCGAGACGTTTTCTACTGTAGTAATGAGACATAAACAACAGACCTCAGGTTGACTCTGAACGGCGAATAATACAATAGTGAAAGGTTTTTTCAAATTCATGCCCCTGGTAAGTGTTTCATTTCATCAATCTTTATCATGTCCAAGTTTAGATGGTATGCGTTCCATCGACAACACAAGCCGCCAAGTTCTCCTGAGCAAAGAATATTTCTTCTGATCTTCATTGCAACGATTCGACAAATCTTTGTCTTCTGCCGCTTCTGTTAATGCGTATCTGATGTCAGTTCTTTCCATTGTGAATACCGTTTGAACACTCCAACTTTTCTTTGAGATTACAGCCACATAGTCGCATTAAACCAGATTGAAGTGACCTCCGAGACCTGAACTTTGATTGTATACAAAATAGTGGTTTCAGGAGCTAGTGGTGTAATATAAGACCTTCACTACGTTGTCCATGTACTATTGATTGACAGTTTTCTCACCCCGCTTGGTACATTTTTCCCTCGGGGGCCTCTCGACCAATTGGAAATATCCGCACTCACAGAATGCGAGTGGCAATAATTTTCGGGGGCCTTCCGTGCAGGCGCTGCCTCACCCCTTGCGTGTCTCCCTTGCACGCGCCTGTTCTCTCTTTCGTCCTCTACTTCCAAGCGCCTGCTATGCAGGCTATTCGTGGCTTTTTTTGGTCGCTTAAACAGGGTTTCACTGTGTTAAATGTATTACAAAGTGAAACTTTTGCTTGCAATGTCATGTGTCCTAACTTGGATAAGACATCATGACCGTTCAAATAACAAACCCATTGCAGTACTTGAAGCTTTTCAGTGGTAACAGATTAAAGTGATGTGGGAGTATAGTTATTTTCTGACAAGTTTTTTGCAAATGTTTAGAATGTACCTCCGGCTCAAGTAAAGCTTATTGTACTGGATAATGTGATGTTGGTACCAGGACATGATATGTACATTCTCGTTAACACGTCAATCACATACAGCGTCATCAGGTTGCGACAAGGCAGGGCAGCAGGTTAGGTTTTTGTTGTCTAGTTACTGTAGCAATGCATAGCGGAGCTCCACACGCGCAAGCAGAGCCCCATAGCTAAGAAAATTGGTTCTCTATCCGTGCAAGAAAATTTGGCAGTCACGTGACCACATGTCTGTTAGTCCATCAATCTGTCCGTACCACAGGGGAACCAATGTTAAATCACATTTTCTAGCTGGTGTGGGAGCCTGCAACCTGATAGTGCACATCCATATTGTGGTCAATTGACAGCTGTCAAAACAGGGTATCTGCTGACCAGTGTCACATGACCGTATCACAGGATCAGGTGTCGACCCTTCAAGTTTGCATGCTTTTTTAAAATTATCTGCTGACAAGTTACTGATTTTCAAATGATCGCAGGCTCAAGTTAAATTTTTTTTCAATGCACAGGCAATAAGTTGTGTCCATAAGCCATGCTATTTAAGTTTTGATTTCAAACTGACTTTAGACTCGAAAATTCAGCTAGTTTTTACAGGCAGGGAAGGCAGTTGCTTTTGGCTTTTCTCACTGTGGTCACTTGTTGGTTATGCTCTACATCCCATTTTCATCTCTGATTGGTCAAAATTTGATAGGTGAATTCATGTCAAAAATCTATGCTGCATCTGGAAACTTGTTTACTGATAGCTGAAGCTGACAGAGTTTTGTGTCATCGGATGATGTTATTAACTGTCTTTTTCCTCGTTTTCCCATGAACCAAAACTGACATTATATATTTCCAAAAAAGTCATTAGTTAAAGCTTTCAGCACCATGAAGCACTCATTGTCAACAATAAGAATAAATTACAGTGGCGAAATGAAAATAAGCTTATGTGAATTATTAGTAGGTACACAGTCTGTAAGACTAATCCGGAACACATTAAATATCATTATCGTACACAATGTATTTGTCCAGTGCCTCCAAATATAATGATTTCTGGTGTACATTCTTTTGTACATTCAGGTTCACGGATGTTTAGCATTGTATAACCTTTAATGTTCACGTTACGCACACAACAGATAAACACATACAGTGCAGATAAACTTGCGAAGAGTGGAATAATTATTGTTTTTTTTTAAGTATAGTTCCTTTGTATTATACTCAGATTATATTTATTCTGGGCTGAGGAATTACTTTATATGCAGGGAAAAATGCAAAACTTGAAAATTAACTACGGAAAGTGAGCATATTTATAATTTTGTGACTGGAAGTGCGTGAACCCCGATGTGTATTTCAATGTGCGAATTGTAAACAACGGTTATAGTTGCATTTCACCCAGGATTTCAGATCAAAGTTCCGCAATACACAGTAACTCGTTACATACTAATAACAACAGAAAAACTGAACAGCAGGGAAATTTTAATTTATTTCATTTTCAATGCAATCGAATGTGACCTGTTAACTCCCCAATCAGTTCAGGCATTTCATGCTCTGAACCAGAACGTGCTACATTACTTGCATGTGAGACAATTTCCGGTAACCTTAACGGCAGCTTCACCTTTAGCCCTGGCTAAATCTATATATCAGAATACTGCTATGGTTATTGAAAAAGTCCTGGTTTTAAATGAAGATTTATGGAGTTTTCACCATCCTGTTTCGCTCACCTCTCATCTGATTTCATTTTCTTTAACAGTTGTTCCAATGCCATCTTCACAGTTTGAGTTTAAACTGAGCAATACCTCTGTGGCTCAACTAGATGTCAAGAAGTCAAGTGTGTTGGGTGTTAAGCTAGGCTACACAAAAGTAACTTTAGAGGACAAAAGTATCCTTTGTGATTTAAATAAAGATGAAGCTGTCAAATTCCGGTGTGCTAATGTCAATTGGTGGTTCCAGAAAATATCATACTTGTACTACAGAAGGCATCTCAGAATTTTGAAGGGGAGGGGAGGGGTCAGTGAACTGGAATTCCGAGTCAGTGGTGGGCATCGTTGGACTGCAATTCCAAAGGCTTGGGGGCAGGGGCTTTCAGCTCTAGATCTCCAAGTCAAGCCAGGGCTCTGATGGTATGCTGTATTGGGTGGAGTTGCAAAAGCCTAAGCCCACTCACATTTGTTTTTTTTTTTTTTAGTTTTCATTTGTCACGCAATGCCTGATGATCCCTACTACTTGCAAACTCGTGTGATGGTTTAAAACAAAAACTAAGTTATGAAAGTACAGTCAAGGCTGTTCACTATTCTTTTAACAAATAATATTTATGTGCGTGCTTATTCGATAACCTGAAACCAGTGAAAGGCACTTAACATTAGCAATCCAAACTTATGTCAAAGAAGCTGCAGGAAGTGTGTTGGGGCTTGTTTTATGGTGTTTTTCAAGAATGTCCCCCTTGCTTTCACTTTCCAAATCATGGACTTTGGCAGATTAATAAAGAAAGACGAAGAGCTTGTTTGATCAGGTCTTTGCATTGGTCTTTCAGAAATATTAATGCAAGTTTATTTTGGAGGAGTGAATAGATAAAAAGGTGGTTGAAAGTTAGAGATGTTGGAAGAAAAGACGGAAATTCCTGAGGAGTTTGGAAATTTATAGAATTCCAAAGGCATGAAGTTAGAACAGTTTGGAATTACAAAGGCAAGGGAGGATTGAGCCTTTTCGAAGTTCCAATAGCAGGGGAGATATAGATGAAGTGTATGTTCTGGCCACAGGAAGGACCTTCCTTATAGTTTCTGATCTAAGGCACGCCTCTTGACTGCTACGTAAAAGGCCGCCATCCTTCACTTTATCCAGCATTCCCCCTCCAGGTCTTCAAAGTGGTCTCTTTCCTATTATTATCCCTTTAATAACTAATCGAGCAACATCACCATGCCGTAGGGTATGAGCAAGCCAGACTGTCATCTGTTGATTACAGAAATGTACGCCCTCTCCTTAACGACGCACCTCAATACTTCTTCGTTACAGACTTTGTCAGACTAGGAAATGTTGTAGACCTTTCTCCAAACTGGGCCACCTTTCACAGCTCTCCAGCCTTCGTATGTCCTTTTTCTTCAAGTTCCACTATTCGGCTCCATACAGAAGAGTGCTCCAAGTGACAGTCCATATAATTCTCTTCTTCAGGCAATTAGGCTGAAGGCTTTTGTCATCAGTTCTTTTCTTTTAGTAAATGTGTTCTTTGCTAGGGCTATTCTCGATCTAACTTCCTTCTCACAGGATCCATCCTAAGTGATAAGGCTCCCAAGATAGTTAAGATGCGAGTCGGCAAAAGAACGTAAAATGAAATAAATAAATAAATAAATAAAAGGTAGCGCCTAAAGGATATAAGGAAGGAATTGCAGCAGCAATTGTTGGAACGCTAACATAACAAGGAAATGTTACCTTGACACAATATTCAGATATGCTGCACATTCACAGTGTTCATCAACCTGCTGCTGGAGTTTATGTGGTTGAACCAGCATTCTTAGGTTTGTAACAACTATAGTAGTACAGGCGGTTTACTCTAGCAGATCTTACTGGGCACTTCGGGGGCTGGCAAGTCGTCTTTTTTAAGACAGTTATCTGTGAGAAAATTGTGGAACATTTAAGAATAAAAATCAACGATAAAAATTTTTTGAATGACGTTTCGATGACTCTCTTTGAATGCTTGATCTACGAAATGCTTTTTATCCAGGAAAAGAAACCCAAACTGAACACTCAATCAGACTCAATAAAAGCGAAACTATTTAGTACCTAATTAACACTCACTACATTCCACATTGTAGTTTTTAATCACGTGCAACGAGACTTCACACGCATTCTTAATATATAAAGAACTTTTAACAATCTAACTCTTTAGAATTTGAAAATGATGAGCGAGTCATCGAAACGTCATTCAAAATTTTTATCGTTGATTTTTATTCTTAAAATTGTGGAACAGCAAGGATTTAATATTGGTACATATTTTTTAAAGTTAAGTGTTATCTTAACAATTGCCATTATGATCAGAATTATTGAGATCTCTTTGCTTTTGTAATTCTTGAACTACGTTCGTAACATTAATTAGTGATGTTAAATTAAAAAGGAAGCAAATTCTTGAGCTTTTGTTACTTCACTGAGAACCAGCATTCTGTACTGTAACCAGCTATTTAAGCATATGAAGTATTTTTCGCCTCCAACTTTACATTATCAAAGTACATAGAATTATAACTATATCCACTTCTCAGGTTTTAGCATCACTCCACACTCCGACTGGTTTCTTGAAGTTGGTGTTGAATATGATGTGTCTGTGCAACTTTACACACACGAGAATCGCAAGATCTATATCACAGATGTAAGTACAGCCTGACATTTGCCCCTCTACTAGCTGCTCTAGCCTGGTTGCTCAGTTTCCTGCAGGTACATGTATTTTTAAAAGTCAATTAGCCGGAACCAGTTAGTGGGCCATTTCAAGCGTGGTGGAAGAGATGAACCCTTAAGGACCAAGAAACAAATGCAACTTGTGGTCAGGACATGTCTCATACCCTCTGAACAGTTTGCTGCTTGACTACGCTGCTAGGGCTTTCATGTAAAATTTCACTTCTCCCGAGTAATTAATCATCAGTAAGCAATTATTTTATTTATTGTTAATGTGCCTTCTTGGATGCTGAATTTAAAATTTAAAGCAGAAGACTTGGCTACTAAAAGATGAAACTTTGAGAATCCTGTGATTCACACAATTCTTACACAAGCCTGGATTTTTAAACCAATTTTAGGAACTTGACTAATGTGCAGTGCAAGATGTTATGTCCTGATTTTAGTTCTATTTCTTTTGATTAATTAGAATATTCAGATTGTAGCTTCCTTTGATGATGCATACTTTAAAGAATTGTGGTCATCAAAAAATGGCTCATTCTACCATGTCAAAACACTTCAGAAAGGAAAAACAGTACTGACTGCTCTTCTCACAAGTATTAAGGTAAGATCCAGTGCCTTTCATTCCTCATATAACCATTTAACTGTAATTGTCCTTGTTTACAATGTCTGCCTGGACCAGACGGCCATGATAGTGAATGAAACTATCATCAACTATCATTTCCTATCAATGACATTAACTATCACTGACTATGTATATTATATTTAATATTAATATTAAAGGCAGATCGAAAGGGTGCTCTTACCAAGAAACTGAGTAATCAGAAATATACTGCAAATACAGTTAGAGCTACAAGAATGGATGAAAGATGATAGTCATTATTGAGGAATCTTTATTGTGATAATCTTTATTGTGGGACTAATTAAACTAACTTCACATAACAAAAAACACGAAATAAGAAACAAATACCACAAATTCTTGTGGCTACACTTAATAAAGGGGAGAAAAATCACAGAAATCAGTTAAATCATTCTTGCTGAAAAACGGCATTCAAACATGTAACCAGCTGCCTATTAAATAGGTTCAGGCCACCTTAAATTAAGTTTTATTCATTTTTTCTTGAAGGTTATCAAAACAAAAATGTACTTCTGTCCGATACCATGGTTCGTGTTAACAGCAATTATGATAATCTTGAATTCAATACCCTTACTACATAAAATCTGGCGACACTTAAGCGATTTTTTTTAGAAAAATCGCTAAATTTAAATGCACCAAAATTAAGTGTCGCTAAATTAAAGTGAGTACAATATGAAATTCCGCCATCTGGTTAGTTTCATACACATGCTATTTGACGGTCGCTTGTGACGTGTATCATTAACTTTAAGTAAAAGTGTACCTTAAATATGAATGAGGACAGCATTAAGATATGACATTACAGCTGCGGTTTCTTTTGTTTCGTTCAAAATTAAGTTTCAGAACGTTGTATGTTTTTGATTTAAATGAAGCCATTGATGTTTGTAATTTTATCACATAAATGTTCTATGGCCGTCGTAAAAGTTTTGAATACCTTAATTCGCCAAAGTTTCAGTTCGTGAAATCGCTAAAATTAAGTGACTTATGTTCCAAAATTTACGAAAAATCGCTAAACTAACATGTCGCTAAAATTTCACGTAATAAGATAATTCAAAGGCTGCGTGCAAACAGACGCAACAATTCCCAACATTGTTGCTCCAACAATGTTGGGACCTGCAGTGCATCGTGGGAAGGATACAACCCATAAGTCTTTGTAAACCATGCGTAATGAGCGTGCGTGGCCCCAACAATGTTGGAAGAGCTGTGCAAACGGATCCAACATTGTTGCGCTACGCTTCGGCGATCACGGAACAAAAAAAAATTTCGGAGTTGTTAGCAGAAAAGTTTGACCGGTTTCAAACTTTGTGCAAGAACATGCAACAACATCCAACAACATGCAGCAGGGTTTGCAAACGGACGCAACATGTAACATCCAACAATGTTGGGAGTCGTTGGCCAACAATGTTGCGTCCGTTCGCACGGGGCTTAAGCCTGTATATATAACTGGTAACCAACGTAAAAAATCTGTGGGGTATTATGACAGAACTCTTCTGGCTTTGTTCCAAACAGGCTGAACTCTTTCTTTTGAATTGCTAGGCTGAACTCTTTTTCTTTTAAATTATAAGCGAGTTTGAATAGTCTTATCTCTAAATTCATAGCTGAGTTAGCAGTATTGTGTCCTTGGTGTTATTTCAATATTATTGTTGTTTCTTCAATACATGGTAGATACTTGGAACAGATACCATCCATACATTTGAGCATCCAATCTCAGGACAGCAGGAAGCTGAGATTTTTGACCCAGTGGTTGTTAACCCTGAGATTGTACTTTTCCCATGGTATCCGGCACCTCAACAGAATGTTGCTGCTCCCAATCAATACCAGTTTTTGTTGCAGGTAATAATAATAGGATGTAAGATTGTTATTTTAGCCATTTTTTGATTATAATTTGCCTCCAAATTATTGGGTGTAAGGTTCTTACACTCACTCAGTTCTCATTCAGACCCACGTTTGTTTATCACCATGTAAGAAAATTTTAAATTAGTTCATGATCCAGTAATAGTCTTTATTTTAGGTGACATGATGTTGTGTTTGTGAAATTTGCCACCCCTTTATTGCAATTACTCCCTTGAATTGCTTTCCAGTTTGGGATTTTTTCTGGTAACTTTTAGGTTCATTTTTGGACTGCCCTCTCAGGTTTTTTTAATTTTAAAATCCCACAGAATATTGTATGTTCCGTCTCCACCTTCACTGTCTTGTCCAGAATTCTGTTCTTACCACTTCTCAGAAGTGTATCATTGTTTCAACCTTGACATGTCGGTTTTTGCGGTGTATCTGTGCTAATATCTTAGCGCACTGTCAATCACACACTGTTTGCTTCCGATATCAGAAGTTTCAGCCAAATGTGTTAGCAAAATTTCTTCCTAGGTGCAATTTTCTCTGAATGATAGGCTACACTTAAGTGCTAATTTCGTAAAAAAAAATGTTTACGACCAGTATATATTGCCGATTGAAATCTGTAGACTTAGGAATAATTAAGAAATGGTAAACGTGCAGCGTGCAACCATGGAGTTATGGATGCACGCGGAAGGTTGCTAAGCACGAAAGAAGCGTAGCCGAGTGCGACTCTAGCTTCTTGAGTGCTTAGCAAACCTCCCAAGTGCATCCATAACTCCATGGTTGCACAGCTGAAACGTTTACCATTTCTTTTATAACATAATCAAAAAGAAAACATTTCCATTTGCCTTCGGTTGAGTCATCGGTACGAGTTCATGTATGCTGCCATCTGCCCGCGCGTAAACAAATCATGTTCTATGTTTTTCAAAAACTTGCCTTTGAGTTTTTCTTTCGCTGAATCAACCGTTCTCCATCTTCAGGTAAATTGCAAAACGTGTTTTGTTGTTATTCTGAATGGCATCCGTCTACTTGCTCTTAATATTAGGGTAAAAACTTTGACGGAAAACTATAGCTGCAACTATAAACACCAACTAAAAAGACTCTAAAAAATAAGCTAAAACTAAATAAATGAAATAACTATCAAGCTTATTTATGTGACAATTTTTGAAATAAACGTAAAGCTAGAAATGAGAAAATTTGACTGTAATTCCTTTAGAATAACAGATAACACTAATTTTAAAAAGAAATTAACTAGCTTTGTATCGAAATCTGTCTGGGGAAATCCAGCTATGAAAGTCAAAGTTGCAACTGAAATTCGCCGACACACAGCCGGCGCTGAAGCTCAGTGTTGTTTTTCGACCGTTCTCTGAACGACTGTTATGAATGAACACTGAGGAACAAAATAATACACACAGAAGTTATTTTTTGAAAAATTTAGTTGAAAACCCAAATGTTTCTGTACTCAAATGAAATTCGCTTATTCCAGCGTAATGTGCCCGTTTAAACTCAACTAAAATTTTTAATTGATGCGATGAAAACTTCACAACAAAGCTGTCTCGAATTTGAGCGTGTTTCCTAAAATATTTGCTTGAATTTAGCATCAGCTTGACCAAAAAGTCAATAAAACAATCCTAATTGATAAATTTACATTTCAAACAAACTTTCTCTTCTATAAAAAACATACAAAATGTACCTTAAATCTTCGCTCGCTCGATTTTCCTTCAGCCGATTCTAGCCGCGAGGAAAACAGTAATTAATTCATCCAGGGCAAATTTGTCGCTTGATCTTTTGTCTTTTGTGCTTCAAAACGACAGCTTCGTATTTTCTTCAACTTCCACTTTTCATCTGTGCATTTCATCGGTGTATTTTACCGTCAGGAGAGGAGATTTGTTGAATTTGCCTAAAGTTTACCGCGCTAGCTCAGTTTCTTCGCGTGCAACCACGGGCAAATGGTAGTGGCGAACTGACCAATCAGAGCGCGCGATTTACTTTTGTTATGTTATAAAAGTAAGTGAAAAGAGTTTAACACAACGTTTCGATGTAACCATGATATCATTATCAAGTGAGAAGATAAAAAACTAGAATCCGACTTAATTTATACAATTTAGAGTGAAAAAATAAAGTAGAGAACAAAAGTAAAATGTTTTTGCAAGTTAAAATATGTTAAAGTAACAGTTCTGCATGGTTGGATTCTGCTTATGTGATATATATTTTTGTATGGAATCTCATTGTGTGATACCTTTAGGTCTTTTTAAAGTTTTGTAACCATAGCATTAACACCCAAAACATTATGACGAAAAATTCTTCGTAACTCAATGTACCAGTATTGATAATGGAGCCACCTTAACCAATATCATCTTATTGTTGATTATAAAAAAATGTCCTTTCAGAGTAAGTATGTCTTTTATGTAACTCTCTCTTTTACACCAAAGGTCTCATGATCCGTGCACACACGCTGATACTGTCTCGTTCCTACACACTGTAACTCATGTAGAAGTAAAAACAATTCCGTGCTAGGTTCTATCAGTCAGTCCTATATAATAATTATACTTGCAATCCTTATTATTTTTCAGCCATCAGGTGGCAGTGGGATGTACATGTGGTCATCATCAAATACCTCTGTGGCTACAGTTAGCACCAAGGGTGTTGTCATGACAACTAGTGCAGTTGGATACTCCCTGGTCCGTGCAGCTGACATGAAAAATCCAGCAAATTTTGATACTACAGAGGTGGGTATTATTGGTCCTACAGAATGTGTGGCTTTGGAAAGAAAGGACATTAGATTGGTTGTTTCACTTATTTGTTTCCACTCTAGCACTCTGACAAAGAAAAATATGTATACTTGACCAGCCTTTGCACATTTGGTATACTATACAGTATGTTTATATGTGAGCTATTCTTGTGGGATGTGGTCTTAAACATAAAAAATGGTCTTCTCCAGGTTTATGTTCTTCAGCCAAAGAAAATGGAGTTTATCCCTGCAGTTGTTGAGGCACTGGTTGGCTCCTCCATCTCGCTTCCGTTGGCTGTGGCTTCTTGTATTTACTCAGGTACTTTATTAACAAGTAAAGACTTTAGCATTTTGCAGCAGTTTTGCTTGGGTAGACCAGTCCACAGACCTGCAAAATAATTATTATTGGGAACTTTTATAAAGTAATTTGTTAATTGAGGTAAAGGTAAAGTCTGCATACATGCCAAATAGCCGATCATGCATATCCGGGTTTCTGTTGCGTAAAGGCAGTATTAGTAATGCTACCCCACCTGAATGGGATGCTAGTTCATCCCAGGGTACCCCCAGCAGTATATCACTAGTACCAATTCATACAGCTGGGTGAAGAGAAACAAAGTGGAGCGAAATTTCTGTCGAAGAAATGAACGCAGCTGCAAGGCTTCAACTTGGGCCTCCAGTTCTAAAATTCGAGGTGTCAACTGCTCAGCCACTATGCCTGCTCCTAACAAACCAAATTGAGGTGTATTTTTGCAATCCAAGCCATTTGTAAACATCATTTCTTTTTTACATGCAACTTTGCATTACATGTTGCGTAGTTCCATGCTTGAATCATTGTATCATAATCGCGTCTTCCGGCTTAACTACTGCTTGATTTCTTGAGACCATTCGAATTCACAGTCTTTCGCAGTGTCACCCTGCCTTTTGAATGGAACATATTGGACGACATGTTCAGGTCCTAAATTCCCAATATTTCTGGGTGAAAATGTCGCAAGTTCACCAATCCTCGATCTCAACATGGGAAGCTATTTAGGCTCAATGAGTGTTTTACCACTTTCAGAAAATATGTATTGGACATACGGTCAGCTAAAGGCAGAGGACCCTCCTTTCACCCTAGCTTTTGTTGTAAGTTAAGCCACCCCTTTTGGAGCTCGGCATACTGGCCAAAACACCATTGAAGCACAGGCCCACTACACCGCAACTTCCAACAAGATCTACAAACTCCCTGGTAGACCTATGTTACGCATTCGTTAATATTGCTACTTCTGCAGACACCCCAGTTCCCAAGAGAAATTGCCCCCGAAGACAAGCCTGCAGCTTCTGCCATAAAACCAGCCACTTTGTTATGGTATGTCAACGAGCAGCCAAGGACGGTCAAGCGTCAAGAACACCTACCCCCAAAACCTGACCTGACAGCCACTAGACAGAAGCATGTTATGACACAAGGCCTGGAATCCAATACGAACACTGCTTTTCATTGCTTTATACCTACCCCATCTCTGCCTTCCTCAGAAAAAGGCCACTTCATCCTACTCACTCTGACAAGCCCTGACTCTAAGAGCGACACAGATATTCCCTTCCCAGGAGCCTCATGCAACACCTACCCTCAAACCCTTGGCAAACACACCTTTCGCCAACCTGCTACCAGGTAAATCAGTAATAATACCATATACCAGCCCACCAATCAAAACGATCAGCCAGACCACCTTTTATATTTCGAGGGAAACCATTACACGTGCCCTGACAATTCAAGCACTTGACACAGACCAACCAGCTCTGTTGAGAATGGAGGCGAGCAAAAGACTTGGACTACTGACCTTGAATGCAGACTTTACATGGAAACCCCCCCCCCGGTTTCCATCATGCACCCTTCGCACAACGAGAACTCAACTGCTAGCCCACAGCCCAGTGCCCTTAGATACCTCCACAGACAAATGGCCAAAGCCTGGGACGTTGAGCATGAAATTCATATCACAACACTGCACCTTACTTTTTTAAGGCCTTAGCATCCTCAGACCACCTGTCGGCTTTAATACAGATCCTGTTGTCAAACCAATGCATGCCCCCATCCACCGCCAGCTCATATACAAAATCAAGGTTATCCATGACACTTACAAATCCACAGGCTAGCTTGTATTAGCTTTTGAACCCACTGCTTGGATATGAAACGAGCATGTTGGTTTGAGAATGTGACCACAACACCAAGCCAGGTAAGATATGCATATGTTTGGACCCCTCCAAGACCCTCAACGAAGCTATTCAGGAACAAAAATACTTCATCTCACCCTTGAGGAGAACCTACACAAGTTACATTTAATGAATTGCTTGACCATCATTGATATCATTAGAGCATTCCAAAACTTTTACTTTGATCCCTCACGACCACTATGTTTATACCATGGGGCTGCTACCCTGGACAAGGCTGCCATTTGGATTATCATCTGTCTCGGAGGAATGGCAGGGCGTGATACATCTGGTTCTTGAAGGCCTTCCAGTCATCAGCATTGCTGAAAAATCCTAGTCCCGGGAGCTGCGGTCCCACTTACAAAGAAGCACAAGTTGATCAACTCATCCAAGGATCCATAGTAGTATTTCTTTTTTCAAAGTCGTCAGCGGTGCAAGTATGTCGAAAAATATATGCCAGTAAGCAGTGTTGACATGAGACATGAGTATGGCAATGTTGAGTTTGGAACCACAAAATTGGTGTCTGAAGAGTGTCCTTATTTAAGGAAGTTATTATTTTAAATGCAGGANGAAATGACGAAAAATTCATGCCCTAAATGTAAAAAGTCCAAAAACGCCCTCGAAATTTTAGTTTCCAAGCCGTTAGGAGTATGTTAGGATCAAAACTAGGGGGTGGGAATCGCACTTGCCTTCAGGGGATTTGAGGACTTTTCATGGATCTTGGTTGACTCGAAGTGCAATTCTCCGCAAATAAATTATCACATTCAAGAACAATTCGATTGTGGTTGGAGGCTTCTTGGCAAACTTTGCAGAGCGTGACACCAGTTTCTTCAGTTTTTGTGGCTTGCGGAAAGCTCAACCCCAGGTAAAGTCTTCAACGTCAAATAAAAGAATTCTCAAAAGTTGGTCTTCCGTTAGGCCCGCTTTTGAGTTATCACACTCGTCCAAAAGATGTAATGGTTGTCTCCGATGACCTGGTGACTACTTATATGGATCCCTGGCTGCTCGTCACTATGCTGGATCATTAGGAACCTTAAGCAAGGACGGCGACGACGGCAGTGAAAACGTCGGTAAAAAAATGAATTTGCGTTCTTTCAAAGTTAATCACGTCTTTGGACCTGTTCAATATGTCAAAAAATGCAGGCGACTTTTCCTGAAGTTGAATTCTTAAGGATTTCATTCAGGTTCAAAAAGAGGAAGGAAAATTCGTCGTCGTATGTCCACATCCTCCATAAAACGGCAAATTAGGAAGTTTCACGTCGTAGTCGTGCAGTGGACGTCAAAGAAATGTACTAAAACGCGTGATGCACGTGCAGAGCTGTTGTTTTGATCATTAAACCTATTGTTTTTTGAAGTCGTCGTTGTGGTCGTCGTCGTAGTTGCTTAAGCTCCCTATTTTCAGAAAAACCACGTCAAAAACAACGTTTTTAAGATGAAATTCCTTGTTTGCAAAGCCACTTTCATGAGACTCCTCATCACTACCAAAGGTTTCAAATCCAACCCTACCATTGTCAATCCCATTCTCAACATGCAATCCCAATGGACAAACCAGACATCCACAGATTTCTTGGAGCAATTAACTACTTAGGCGAATTCTGGAGGCTCCAGTGGTACTTCAAGTAGATTCCTCTGACTATGGTATGGAATCAGTTCCACTACAACTCACCGAAATTCTCCCTGATGACACCATCATGAGTGTTCCTTGTCGCCTGTGGCTTACGGCTCCACAAACCTCACCCCCACTGAGAAACGATCCACACAAATTGAAAAGGAATGTCTTGCTAACGTGAAATTCTTTAACAAGTTTGACCAGTGGTTGCTCGGCAAATCAGGTATCAAAATTCACACAGACCCCCAAGCACTTTAGTCCATCTTCCAAAAGGATCTAGCAGTCGCACTCAAGCACCTTCAAAAAGTGATGCTCTTCCCGTAACACTACATCTCTAAGGCCGTCTACAAACGAAGCTCGTCCGACACATTGAGACACTTGGCCGACACATCGAGTGCACCTTGCCAGCATTGTGACAATGCTATATTTGTTAGATTAGACACTGCGGATGTCAAAGTAAGAAAAATAAGACACAGACAAGAAATTAAACATCGCAAACTTCACACTTTTTGGTGAAGTCCCGACTGACTGAGTTAGGACAAGAAATACCGTAAAAAACTATAGTTTTGAAACTTTTTTGAAAGTGAAAGGTAAAGCAATGTTCATGGAAAATTAGAGAAGGTCATGGAAATGGTCATTGGAAGTTACGGATTTTGAAGAGCTTAGTAGAGTACGAACTCTGATCACAGTCGACCACTACATCGATTTTTACGAACTGGACCAGCTCTTCAACACCCAGTCCTCCACAGTGATTAATCAAACCAAAGCACACTTTGCCCACCACGGTGTTTCAGTTCCTTGCTTCACATACAATGGTCCTCAATTCAATACACATGAGTACAAGTACTTTGCCAACAGATGTGGTGTTGAACACATCACTACTTCCCCCAACTTATCCTAAAGCAATGGCAAAACAGAAACAGTCACGCACGCTAAGTCTCTTACCAAGAAATCTGACAACGTCTACCTGGTACTTCTAAACATACTCAACACCCCTCTTTGTAGCCTCAACTTTTCACCCACACAGCTATTAATGGGTAGACAACCATTTTGCAATACCTACACCAGCAGACCTGGTCAAGCTTGAAACTCTGGATCCCCCCTGCCTTGGCTGCACCAAACTCCTTCAGAGCGACAAAAAAGTCAAGTATTGCCTAATTTCATACCGCGCGGGAGCCTGGCACAACCGGATTTTCCCGGACTTGTTAAATTCCGGATTCAAAATGGCTTCCAAAATAGAGGTAAAGCAAAGGTCACTGCGTGCAGTTGAAACGATATTAAGGGCCATATTACTCCAGGAAGTTAATATTCTACAGCAAAGAACAGTTGTNAAACAGTCACGCACGCTAAGTCTCTTACCAAGAAATCTGACAACGTCTACCTGGTACTTCTAAACATACTCAACACCCCTCTTTGTAGCCTCAACTTTTCACCCACACAGCTATTAATGGGTAGACAACCATTTTGCAATACCTACACCAGCAGACCTGGTCAAGCTTGAAACTCTGGATCCCCCCTGCCTTGGCTGCACCAAACTCCTTCAGAGCGACAAAAAAGTCAAGTATTGCCTAATTTCATACCGCGCGGGAGCCTGGCACAACCGGATTTTCCCGGACTTGTTAAATTCCGGATTCAAAATGGCTTCCAAAATAGAGGTAAAGCAAAGGTCACTGCGTGCAGTTGAAACGATATTAAGGGCCATATTACTCCAGGAAGTTAATATTCTACAGCAAAGAACAGTTGTTTTACTGCTATAAAGAACTTCGAGAAAAAAACTTCGAGCAAAGAAAGGTCTAATCGGAGACTTTCGGTACTTGGAAGTATGGGAAGGATTCCCTAATTGTTCGACAAAAAATTTGAACAAAGAACCGTCGCGTTTAGCTTTTATTACGGCGCTGCATCCGACCGAATATTGGGGAATGATAAGAGAGGGGGTGTACCTGTTTTTACAAACCGTAAAATAAAGACTACCAAAGAAGCGAAACACGCTAGAGTGACCCTGAGTGAAAGGGCTGCGTACGGTCTCATTAAAAAATCCTGAAGATCAGACCAGAGACAATTCTCACTGAACAATAGGTAAAAGCAAGTATACTTCAGTCCTACAAGAGAGGCGTTTCTCGCCCAGTAACACCCTGTAACAGTGCGGTTCCTGTGACCAGACCTCATGCATTGAGCAATGTTATGATGCTCAAGCAATTTTTCTTGAGGGGATAAATTGTGTATAGTTTATTTGTGAGGCCCCTGCGTTCGATTCTGTACCTTCCAGTTACATTGCAGTTCTAGTAATTTAGACACAACTCAAGACATGAATAAATTCATTGATAAAATGTCAAATGGCAATGGCTTACAAGGGCTCACTTGTTGAGCTGCCTTTTTTTGGAACTTATTGGGTCTACGAGCATGTTTACAACTTGACAATCACCCTGTAATCCAATCAAGAATGTCACGTCCATCTGCCTTTTGGTTAGCATGCACTGTGTATAGACTAGTCCCTTATTCTCCTGCATGTGGTTTAAGAACACTAGGTTTAACATACATAACGCCACAAAGTTCACTATACTCAGTACCTTTCACAGACATTTCCCTTTTCCGCGACGGGAATAATCCAGGTGAGCCCTTCTGTACTGCCCTTTTAAGTTTTGCTCCAGCATTCTTAGGTTACGATCGGAACGTACACAATCACATCTGTGTTCTTGCCTGCAATGATCCTCTACTTTACAGATGCGGGTAGAATTAAACAAAGGATCCTTTGCTGTACAAAATTTATAATCATCTTTGGTTCGAACGACCTTTTCATCGAACAATTGCTTGCACTTGCTGAGTATCGGCTCCTTCAGGTTAGCTTGAGGGTATGGCAGAAATACTGCATCCTTTCCTTACTAAGCTTAGGCAGATTCTCCGAGGGAATATTGATCAATATTTCTTCGAAAAAGAATGCTTTCCTTCGCGTTTTGACTATCCTTCTTCCTTCTGACTATCCGCCATTTTAAGACTGGACTTTTTAAAAAGTCTGGGAAAATCCAGTAGTGCCATACCCCAGCGCGGTATGACATTAGGCAATGACAAACTCAATGTGTTGTCCCTTGGCTCACATGCTTACGCAAGCCATGCCCTTCCCAATCAGGTACTCCATGGTTATTTGGTTGGACAGTAGAAAGCCAAAACACCCGATCGTACCGCATCGACGCTGGCAGCCGTTGAATCCTTCAAAACCATCACCCTTCCATACAAGACGTTTAACGCATAATTATTTAAGCATGTACTAGCCCGCGAGTCATTTCAACTAGCCCCAAAACCCTTTTGAATTAGCAGGATTGATTACAATCCTGTAATTTGAACTTCCCAAAAAAACGGCACTTACCCGTTGGGCAAGTTAAGAACAAAAATCACCAGGCCGATAGCAAAATCCACTAGCTCCGGGCTATCGGACACGACTTTCTTTGCACGCTGGACTCATGTCTCTTATTTATTTCATATCATGTCTCTTAGTCCTCATTACTTTTTTTATTTCTGTTTGCATTTTTCCCACAGAGTGCCAAGAGTTTCATGTGTTCACTGACTGCCGATCACTGCCTGTGACATACACATTTTCAGACCCCTCTATTTTTAGACTGGTGGAAGATAACAGTAAGCAGTGTTATCTTTATGTTTTAGAGTTTCATGTTTTGCAGGAAAAGTGGCAAAAACAATATATAAAAAACAGTATATATGATATGTATTGGGACGTGAGATGTCAGGTAGCAACTTGTCTGAAAGGATTTTTGAACCAACCTCAAAAAAAATTAATAGGAATAGTCCGCCGTAAGCTGTGCTTCCCTCTCTCTCTCCCCCCCCCCCCCCCCCCCCCCCCCCCCCCCCCCCTCCCAACTCGCACGCGCCAAGCTACATATACTACATCTTTCTATATGTCCTACGTCTCCATACATACTAATACAGATAGAAAACAAAAACAAAATAACAATAAGCATGACTATAAAGACCTCACTAAAAATAACAAAATAATCTAGACAACTTAGTTTTTTATAGTTTTTTTGTTTTGAGGAAAAGGGGAAAAAAAAAAAAAAAAAAAAAAATATATAGTATATATTTGGGGGAGGGGAAGTTAAGAGAAAAACTGTTTTAAAAAGTTTTTGAACCCCCCCCAAAAAAAAATAAAAAGGAAAGCCCCCCCCAAACGTGTGCTCCCTCCCTCCCCCCCCCCCCCCCCCCCCCTTCTTGCAGGGTTCATCAAAACTGCTAGGAGTGATCAACATTTAATATATCCCTAGAGTTGCACTGCCTAATCAAACATTTGGTCATAAAAACGAAGGAAATGATCAAGAGTTTCACGACAGAGCTCTCGACAAATAGTTAAACAAAATTATTTCACTTTACCAGAGCCATAGGAAATGCCGTAAGTGGCAGCAATAGAGTAAATCAAATGACGGTGTAACAGCTTTGTGAGGTAGAAGTGGGTCACCCTCCAGGAATTTTTTATTTGGGACTCTCTGAGAAAATTAACATGAGGATGGCATTTCCCCCTAACATTTTCATCTGTTTCATATTATACGGTAAATTGCTGCTTATAAGCCACCCTGGATACGTGTCCCCCAGTTATAGGACTATCTTGCCTGTAAACAAAAAAGAATACATCCGATTACAAGCTTTCCCCGGATAAAAGACTCCCTCCAAATGTATCGAAACGATTTATTATGCCGTTTTGAAGCTTAATTTCAAAAGGTAATTCAATCAGCACTGCTGTAGCTTGTTTCTAGGCGCTCTTTCTGTTCCAGTTATAAGCCTAAAACCCCTTACGAAGATGTAATAGGCCCAGGGCTTATAAGAGAAACAAATTGTTAGTTTCACATGACGTCACTAAACTACAAAACTATCTATCCTACGGAGATTTTACTTTCACGATGTATTAGAACAGCTGAAATCTAAATTTCTTACAAATTTTCGCTTCAAAAGGGTTCTTGGTTTTGTGATAGAGTACGCGCGACGCGGCATTTACATGACGGCCAAGAGAGCTGTCATGTAGGTTAAAAAAAATGACTTATTTCAGGGAATTTTGCTATCTATATTAGAAAAAGTATCAACTTTAATGTTTATGAGTTCCTCGAAGAATAAATTCACGCTTTTGTAGCAAAACTCGGTAACAGATGTTTCTGTTGGCTTCCATCCGCCATGTTGGTGCTCATCCGGATGGGCACCAGCATGGCGTCTCCGTACAAATCTCTACAAATTTGGGTAAAACATTTTTTCGGATATCTCGTATACGAAATATTCCTCTGACCTGAAATTTGGCAGAGGTCTTTGCATATTTACTTCCTCTCATTTTCCAGATTCTGGACTTTAACTATAGAATAGTTTTGATTTTTATTTTGATCTATTTTGAATGGCGTGACACGGAAAACCAGCAATAAGATGGATGATATCACACTTTGAAAATTGTTTTCTGTGAGTGGCTGGTGCTTCCATCAGTTCATGGCAACAAGGCATCATTTTTTGATGGTCGCTAGTGCTTTTGGAGAACCCTGTCCTGTTGCTTGTTTAATTGCCCAACAAAAGTATTGCTATATTACCTTTATTCTGAAGGTAAAAGCCAGATCCCTCAGAGCCATTGACACTCTTTGGTTAAACAAACAATCTGGTGACTTCCGTTCTCCATGCTTATTAATTTTAGGTCATTATGAGATTACTGCTGGTAGTTGCATGTCTGTTAAGCTCCTTGCCCTTCGCTCTGGATTCACAACATTGACTGTTACATACCAATACAATGATATCATACTTAAGGCTGGCATAACTGTTGGAGCCTACCATGCCCTCAAGGTAAGTACAAACAAGGAGTTAGATTGTGCGAAGGATATGTCAACTGAAAATTGTTTTGAATGTTTTTTGATAAAATACAATCCAAAAGTTTTATCTACAAACTATCTTCCTTTCCTCTTTTTCTTCTCAAGTGCTTTGTTGTACACTTTCTAGTAAATACAGTAAGTGGCAGATTTCAAGAGGGAGTGTATTAGCTGTGCCGGGTAGCTTGGTTGATTAACATTTGTCGTAATTACACTTGTATGGAATTTAGGTTCTTGACCCACTTGAGGTTGGTGTAGTTTCTTTGTGTTCCGCAAAAAATCTGATGTTGGACGGTGGACCTCTGCCTTGGATTACGGATACTTCTAGTTATTATGAGGATGGTGAGACTTAAGCACGTGATTCAATAATAAAAATAGTACAAAGCAAAGGACTGTCACTATTAGATGCTGTGACTTAATAACTTAACATCTCCAAAAACAGACATTCGACTTTCCCTCGGCATTTCTTGAGGATTTTAAACACGGTGTAAAGCGGGTAAACCTTGGAGAAATAAAAATTCTGAAGAAATGCCGCAGGAAACTAGAGCGTCTGATTTTCGAGATGTTAATCATCCGACACAAAAGACGCACGCTAAACACTCAAGCCGACTTCATCCATGCGAAACTCTTTATTTAATTGTTATTTGTCCATTTTCACGCTTAAATTTTACATGCACTTTTCGCACTTTCTTTTTCTATATATATTTCCACAAATCATGTTAATTTGTTATCTTTTCATAATGATGAAATGAAGCCATCGAAGAGTCAAGTTTCTTTTATATCGTTGCTTTTTGTTTTAATATGTATCTCTAAATCGAACCCTATTAGACTTAATAACGGGACGCAAAAAGCGCCAAGTGTCTTCTTATAAACTGCCTGATTATCCGGCCTCACTTGCCTGTTAAGCAAAGGAAAAATTTGACAGTTGGGATTCTTAACTTTTACAAAAACAGCCTAGCGTAAATATAGGGTTATTTCAATTATATCAGTTTTGTACTTCGTGTTATTCTTAATTTTTTTTTATTAGATGGCAGGTAATGCTAAGGCCTCATAGTCACCTTTTTAAATTCGTTGTAACAGAACTGAGCATCTCTTCTTATCGCTGTTAATATTAGTATCTTTGTAATTGTTGTAAAATAAGATTTGTTTTAAGTTCATTACAATAACGAATTTTTTTATTTATTTATTTATAATGATTAGGTGTGCTATATATATATATATATATATATATATATATTGGAAAGATGGTAATCGGGTAACCTTATTTATTTCTTGTCAGAAGGTTTTGCTCAAAGCACCTCATCATTTACACCTCTATATTTAATTAACGGCCTTTTCTGGCTATTTTTGGTCATAGAGCGATACCATTAGCTCCACCAAGGTTCTCTCTATATGTAGGACCGTAGTAACGGTTAGATTAGATGTGAGCTAGGTTTGACAGTCAATAATTAAATGAAATTTTCTATCCTTCGATATTCACCAGTTTTCCCAGAAGCAGATAAAGCAGAACAGGTATTTATTGGTAACGATCACACTGAAGATTTCCCTGGTAAGTGAAGTCATTAACATGTTTGTATTGTGTAACAAGGATACACTCTCTACGACAGACACCTTTGGGATCATCACTCTTCGTTGGTTGCCACCCAGCTACATCAGCGATTTAGTTAGCATTAGGACCTGTTCTTTATATTCAGTGAGAACATCCCAAGGGGTGTATGTTGGCAACTTAAGAAGCCAGATCGTTTTCCGCTGCCGCCCCTACATTCTGATTGTGAAACAGCCTTCCCGCGCATATCCGTGTTATTGGATTACTGTGCGCTTTAGGAGACAAGTCAAAGCATATCTTTTTGGATTAGCTTTTACGTAGATTTAACTTGATTTCATTTCATTTTATTTTATGTTATTTATGTATTTTTAATATTATTTTTGCTTTTTATCGGTTTTATCTATCATAGATCCATTTTATAAATTTTAATTAGTATGACTGTAAAGCGCTTTTGATCATTTATATGTTAAGAGGCGCTATAGTAAATTTATAAACTATTATTATTATTATTATTATTATTATTATTATTATTATCCAGTTTGTAAGCTTTGACTTGCTTATTTAGTAATTGGAAGCATCTAGTAAATTTCTTATAATATGACTGATAAAACTTATGTTAAAAAATGCAAATGTTGTTTTTAATAGTGTATGTTTCTATCAACTGTCGGTCACTTAATTGTTAATGCCGTTTTGTTTTGTGTTGTTTTTTTTTTTTTACAATCACGTCTTAATGAAATTCGAATCCTGTAATAATGAGGGCAACGAGTTTAAATCACGGGTAAAAAACGACGTTTCGACCGATCTTTGGTCATTTTCAAGTAACTCAAAAGTTAAAAGAATTAGCATATATATATGTGTAAGGTGTAAAAATATGTTTAAGTACTATTAACAATTTTAAAGAATAAAGTGAAGCGTGCAGAGAAAGAACAACAAAAGAATCTAATTAAAAGAGCTATTTAAAAACTTTAGCACGAATTGAGTCTGACTGTACATTGAGACTAGGTCTCAGTTCATTAATAAAAAACCTTTCAAACATTTGCTTTTACACCTCTCTAAAATGCTAAAATTATTACTAAAATCTTTAGGCGCCCGAAGAATGTTTAACACGAGAGTGCTGGCCGACGGATGAACTTGTGCTTCTGTGTTCCTCAATTCGCTGGTGTACGTGGCGAGATGCGTAACCTACATAACCTGCATCGCACAGGTCACATTCAAATTTGCAAACAAGACATTGCTGGTTGACAAGAGGTGGCTTAGCTTCTCGCATTTTAAGATCGCGCTCAATCTTTTGGCCGACAAACACTAGAGACACGGTCGTGTGAACTGTGTGACTCAAATTCTGAACTTGAGGTCGAACAATGTCAGCTGAGGACTGGTCTCTAAATGGTAAAATAACACGAACAGGGTTAGATGAATCAGAAACAGCCGCGGGCGATGAAACAGGTTGATCAGAAATGTTTGTGGCAATAAAGCGTGAGATAGTAGAGTTACCGAGTTTGCCAGGGTACTTAAGCCGTAAAAAAGCAATTTACGACGATCGCATTCTCCGGAGAAATACGTCCAGTTGGACGAAAGTCGGAAAGCACGATCAAGCATAGTTCTTAGTAACGCCCGCTTGTACCGAACGTCTAAACAACAACAACAATGTATTTATTTAAAGAAATATAAAGTTACAATACCCTACCCTTACAATAATGTCCTGCAAATAGCTATAATGCTAATCTAGGCAGGACACGACTTTAAATAAAGACGTTATTTAACTACATAGGAAAAAAGAAAAGAAATACAGTAACATACAAAAAGAAACACCGTACATATAAATTCAAGTACAGGGTATTTTGTTGTTTGAAAAAGACTAAAATTACAACTGGAGGTATATACAACATATCAGGTTAACTTCATAAAGTATTCTATTAAATAATTAACATTCAAATAATTATCTTCATTACCAGCACATTAAGGAGTAGTGATTTAATTTTTTACGAAAATTAGATATGTTGAGAGTCTTAACAGAAAGTGGAATAGAATTGCAAATAAACACAGCAATTCTAGTTAAAGAGTTTATAATTTTTTCAGGTCCAGAGAATTTTACAGAGAAACATTCTTTTGTAGATAATGGCGTATTATAATGATGTTTTGTATTGTTTTTCGCAAACTTATCGAGAAGACGTTTAGGAGCTGTCTTAGCATAAACGTCATACATTAAATAGCTTAACTGTTGAAAGAACAAAGACTGGAGCAAAAAGTGCATGATGTAAATTCAAAAGAAGATGCTGTGGAATGTAATGCCTCATTTTAACAATTATTCCAACCGATCTACTAATTTTGTGACAGATAGAGTCAATATGATGCTTCCATGGTAGTTCAGAATCAATCACTATACCCAAATATTTAACAAAGTCCTTCATCTTTAGAATTACTCGAGTATTTAAAGTTCGATTAAAAATCTTAACTTTAGGAATGAAAGGTATTCTTTTTTGGCGCGGACGAAAAATGACAGAAAAAAAAAATGAAAATGAAAAATGACATTCACTTACTTTCTCAAGCTCATTGTTGACAGTTCAAGAGTGCGTAAGTTGTCATTTGCATAGGTTAGACTTGTATCATCTGCGAACACATAAAAAGTGAATTCCTTGGAAGATTTATGGATGTCATTAATAAATAACAAAAGTAGCAAGGGTCCAAATACAGAGCCTTGAGGCACTCCACATACGAACGCTTCAGTCTCAGATATGCATTTGTCTATTTCAAACGTCTACATGACTCTTGTAATGTAACAAGAGGCTACTGTTCGTGGGCTTGACATAGACTTTGTTCTCCTCATGTGAAGATCTGTTGAGGAGCTGGGTGCCCAGGAAGGGAGCATACCATGCTTTCAATCTCCATGGTGCATATAACGAAGGAGTGCCACTGGTTGAGAGCCTCAAGAAGATTCTTCGCAGATGTATTGTTTTGCGTAACGGTCAGTCTGTCATCAACAAATCGCCCGATTATGTGGGTATCTTGCCTTCCTGCTCCAATCTTTCTTCAATGCTACACAAACACATTAGTGAGTAAAGGATCAAGTTGGGATCCCATAGCGACACCGTCTGTTTGTTCCTGCAGCTGAAAATAACATGTTGATCTTTAGTTGCTACTCTGAGAAGATCGACAAGGTCTTGTCTACTGAGATGAAGTTGGTACTTTTAATTGAACCAATTGTTCGTGAAAGCCTTATCACTGAGTAGTTGTTTGGTTTCCTCCAAAGGCACCTTGGTAAACAGGGAAGGAAACATCGTAGGAAACTAGGATATCACCGTTGTTGATCGACAGCTGCTGGATTTCATTCATAAAGTCGAAAGCGTTAGTTATAGTGTACTGATTAGTGGAAAGTGGTTTGAGTTTTACATGAAGCCATTTTGCCAAGGCGTATTTGTAAGTCTGTGTAGCTGATAATATAGGTCGCATAGCAAACACTTTCTCATGGGTATTGGGTAGACCATAGAGATGAGCTAGTCTAGTGCCTGATGGACGGGCAGAATCTGCAACTGAAGTGGGTAGAATTCGGCGTACGATTGACTCTAACTCTTTTTCTTTCCGGAGAAGCGGATGATATTGCTTGGGTGTTCTTCCGCTACTTGTCGGTCTCAACCAATCGAAATTTAGTGGCATCATTTATGGACACTTCACCTAGTAGACGAAGGTATTCTTCCTTATCCATTACGACTACACAGGATCCTTCATTCTTTAACATTTTTATAGTTTTTAACATATTTTTGCACCTTACACATATATATGCTAATTTTTTTAACTTTTTACCTACTTGAAAATGACCGAAGATCGGTCGAAACGTTTTTTATCCGTGATTTTACTGTGTTAAGTTTTAAAAACCCTTATAATACGTTTACCTGTGCGGAGTACTGTCAAGTGCTTATTAGTAACAAATTCCGTGGTATTGTAGCAACGTATCATTGAAATTAATGCAATTTCTTGCAGCTGACGGCAGTGGATCGTACCACTATTTTAGCATCTTCTGTCGAAAATTGGGTGAGCAGGTGAGAACGCTGTAGCACAAGAGTTTTGTCAACCTTAAGTGAATTACACACACGTAAACTTTAGCCAAGGGTAAATTTCAGTTGAAGGAATTAAACGCCAAAAGCTGAATTTAGTCCGGCTCTCTTGTCACGTACGTGTACTGCTAAACAAAACGTATAAGAAGAAAAAAAAGTAAACTGACGAAAACCAACAATGGCTCTGTGTTGATTGAAGTAATCATTCTAATTGTTACAAAGCAATGATGCTATTGAGCAATAGCAGATTCGTTCTCCTGGACGTTAACTAGGTTTATCTACTGTGAATTTATTGCTAAGTGCATATCCATCCATGTTTAGGTTTTGACAGTAAAAATTGGAAATAGACCAACTCCAAAGAATCCTTATCCTGCAAGCTCTTCTGTGAAGATCAGGTGAGGTTGTGCTGTTAAACCGCTGAACAAAGAAAAAGTGCAGTCTTAGTGTGGAGTATTGTCGCAAAACTTCTGAAGTCACTCGATAATCTTTTTTTTAGGTTTGCATGCATGGAACCTGCATCACTAACCATTGTTCCTGACATTAAACTGCCGACTGTCGAAGGGCGACAACTTTCTCCAGAAAACTGTGTCAACTCAAATAAAGAGGTACAATTGAATCTTAGAGTTTTTTGCGGAGGTTGTCTAATAGCGTTTATATATAGACCGAAAAAAATACAGCAGAGCTGTTGTGGTCGTGTTAAAACTAAAACTAAAGTCAAAATCATTAAAACAATCAGAAAAACTATGCACAGTAGAACTCAAAGCCGTAACTTTCTTTTGTAAAGCCGACTTTTTTAAAAAAGAGTGATATTAAACTCTTTTTTTAAAAAGACTGCACTCTTTATTTTTTTTATATTTACTCTTTACTATTTACTCTTTTAATATGATCACTCTTGCTTGACTATCCACAGAGTCTATCATAACAAAAAATATTATTTCTTGCATCCCATTTTTCTTAGATCCACGTTCGAAACAACCAGCATTTAAATTTAATTGCCCACTTGCGTGACTCACTTGGGCGATCCTTTGACAATTTTACCTCACTAACTGTGGTGTGGACGACCAGTGATCGCTCTCTGGCGGAATTCGTGGACAAAACCAGTTCTGTGAAAATGATGTTTGTCACATACAAGAAAGATGAAGACCTACGAAAAGCCATATGTAAGCAACACATTTGTTTCTGTACCGAAAAAGGACCTCTCATGTAGAGTATTGTCGTCCTTTTGCAGACGTTCTTTTAGCACTTCAAATTGTTCTATCATCCCAAATGAATGGGACGCAGCCTGCGGACAAGCCCTTTTTCTCGGCTCTCTTCGCTTGGCTTAGCAGAGATTGCTGAGAGATATTGCTCATAAGGTAAAAGCGAGCCTAAAGAACGCCTACTTTGGAGAGGAGATGAGAAGCAACTGGCAAGAGAATATAGCTACCATCCGACATTACCTACGCCATTACCATCATCAATATCTGACAAAAACCGAAAAAAGTCATATAGTGGGTTGTTTGAAATTCATTTGTCATTGTTCATAACCTTGTTTGCTTGTTACTGGGGAAAAGGATTATGGATTGAACTTACTCACACTCATACTTACACGTAGAGGATTGCATCCTTTGACGTAGAAGTTGAGGTTTCATTTAAAGCAATATGAATGATACTAATACTTTCATTTGTTTAGCGTATCAGACTGTAAGTTTGAGTGACAGGATGGGTGGAGTGGTTATTCAGGCATCTGTTGGAGGATATGAATGTGACACTCTCAGATGGTGTGGACAGGAATTAAAGGTTTGAATTTTAGTTTAGCAGTTGAAGAAGCTCTTGATAGAAAACACTTAGTGTTGTGGCTGGTAACTCAAGCATAAGCAAAAGAAAGTATTGCTGTAGTATTGTAATGTATGAACACATGTGTGTTGCTGTATTATCTTGTTAACAAATTTCTTGCCTTGTTACATCAACACGAGCACACTGAGGGCCTGTTTACATGGAGGTAGGGGACCCCAGGTAGGTGAGGTAACATGCGGCGGGTCACCCCACCTATCATGTAAACGTGATCAAATTAAATGTGAGATTATATGGACAGGCGGGTTACCCCACCTAAGCGGGTACCTCACCTACCTGGGGTCCCCCACTTCCATGTAAACAGGCGTCAAGTCATGCAAGTCCTCTTTGTCACCCATGTGATATTTTTCTCTGATGGCAAAGCTAGTTTTTTTTTCTTTATCCAGCTTTTGCCAATCCTCTTGATGGGTCTCCACAGGAGATCGATGATCCGAATGCTAAGCTGTTTTTTATCTGCTCACAGGAACCTGCGAATTTTGCACTCACTGGACGATTGAAGTTGTTGTTAGTGCCTGAGAGAAAACTTGTTCCACCGGCAGCGTCAATTCTGAATCACCCAGAGAATCAGGTACATTCATTTCGGTTGTCTAGGTAAAAGCACCGTTATTTAATTAAGAATTAGATTCCATTCTGTCAGTTATGGATCACAGATGACGTCAAAATGTAAGAGATCAAGCATCCACGCTGGGTAGAAAACTGGGAAGTGTTAATGATATAATTAAAAGAAGTGTAGTCGGAAAAAGAAGATATGGAAGACGAGATTGATCAAGTTTTAACGAAGAAATGGAAGTCATCCGAATTCAATTAATTCAAATTTAAGCGAAGAAAACGATTCAGAGTAGAATTTACATCATTTTGCGAAAGTCGAGTTTCCAGAGGAAACGGAGTGTGTAATCGTTAAAGCGGTTGCTGATGTCATTTTAAACATGGCACGCCCGATATTAGAATCTGTGAAAGAACTCTCTGAAGATTACTCCAATCGTACCTTAAATATAAGGACATGGGAAAAAGCAACAGTCACAAATATTGCTAAGGTACACATAGCAATTCGTGATTTAATGACACATAAAAATAATGTCAGTCTGGAACAGGATCCTTTTACCCTCCTTTGGATTACAAATTGCGTACTATTCTCAGCGGTGATTGCCTTTCTCCTCTGCAAAGGCTGGAGAAGGGGAAAAAATAATTTCCCAAGAGAACAGGAGAGGCTCAGAAATGGCAACGAAAGAAAAGTACGGGACCCAGCGCGTGAAATCAGGAAAAATCTGTCAACAGTTCAAGCAGAATTGGACAAAATAAGAACAAACGGGAAGTTAACAAAGAAAGGCATCAAGAACAGAAAAAGCTATTACGAGAATGAAGCATCATTTCTGCGGCAGATTTAGTTGATTATATGGAGATAATATCTCGCTTTCATTTCATTCATTTATCTATTTTGCCATTAATTATTAACTGTATATTTACGATTCACAAAACATAATAAATTAAAAAATATACATATGTATTAAAGGGGATATTTACTATTCTATTTTGCAAATGTTGGAAATGGTTATGGCAAGGAAGCCGATATATAGCCGAGATAACTGTAGAAACGCTATCTACCAATAAATTAATAAACTAAGTGTCTTGTCTAAGGAGAGTACCTTCGCCTTTAACAACGACTAAACCAAGGTTATGATTCCATCCCCCCCGCAGATGTCCAGAGTACATCACCTTGACGAGTATGGTCCTAACATCGCAGTCAGTATTTATAAACTAGAACGCATTAAGTCTTGCAAACTACCTGGAGTTCACATCAATGAACATCTAAAGTGAGACGATCACATCAAGCACACGGTATCTGGATGCTACGCTACTCTATCAATACAAAGAAAACTGAACTATCTTGCCAAATATGAGCTTAGAAAGCAGCTAGCAGAAACATTGATTTCGTCAAAGCTAGATTATGCCGATCTTGTTTTCTACCCTCTACCACAATTCTTACTTCGCCGTTTGCAACCAGTTCAATTTGCTGCCGCAAGTTTTGTACTCGGTCAGTATGTTGAGAACTTTCGGGATGCACTTAAAATCGGATGGCTTCCAATCAATGAGAAAAGAGATTTGAACCTCCTGAAATCATGCTTTAAAGTTTTGCATAACACTGAGACTTGGCCAGATTATTTTAAAATAATAAAACAGGAATGCCTCAAGGAACTGCGCTCAAGCAATTCAACTAGATTAGTGGTCCCGACCGAAAACGGCACTTTCCAAGATATTGCTTCGAAGCTATTTAACAATTTACCAGAAACTATGAGAAACTGTAAAGATTACAGAACCTTTTTAAGACTTTCAAGGAATTTTTTATGTAACTGAGTACAGAGTGATTAGTTAGTTTTACTGTATTTTCGATTCTTTTAATCCTGCTTCTACTTTTAATTGTATATTGCTTAAGTTGTAAACAACTTAATTTGATTTATTTTTTTAATTGTAATTGATGTACTTTAACAGGGAAGAGCCACCCAGTGGATCTGTTAATAAACCATTATTATTGTCATTATTATTATTATTATTATTACTATAGCCAAAGCCCATGACATTACCAACGGAAAATCTTAGTAAATCTTAATAAGTGCACACAGGGCATATAAGGGGGTGCCTCCTCTTCCTTCTCCTCCTCCTCTACAACAATTACTTTTATTATGTTTATCAAAAATATTATAATATATGGTGCATTAAGTGAACAGCTTGTAGATTGGACGATGGTTTTATTCGCTTCTAGGCCGTGTTTCGCATTGATGGAGGCTCAGGTCGCTTTGCTGTTAAAGGAAGCAGTAATACTATCGCCAAAGTTGATTACCAAGGCAAGAGTGAACTGCTGGTAAGTGAACGAACTGGGAAATTGCTGCCTTTTCACGTCGAGACCAATATATCGGGGCCTTTGTCTAAATTGTTTTCAGTGTTCTTCATAAGTTAAAGCCTTAAGCTACAGTGGTATCGACTGTATATTTCATGACTTTTCTTGTAATAATAACAATAATAATAATAATCAACTTTATTTAACGAGGGTAACACGGCACAATACTTCAACTGAATAACTAGTGGCCCTCATTTCAATTGTGGTTCAATTCAGAATGAGACGTGCTGCTTTGTCACACTTGTATAGTGGATGAATAATAGCAGAGTCGGATATAATCAATCGGTTTCCTTTTCACAGGTGATACCACGATCTGAGGGACTGTTCACAGTAACAGTACATGACTTGTGCCTGGACTCCACTGTTCCCGCTACATTACACGTGCAAGTGTCAGACCTGTATGGGGTGGATGTCAATGTTGTAAACAAGGTACAACAGGCCTGTTAGTGCCTGGGTGGGGTGGGTGGGGGGGGCGTATGGTTCAGTGTGGTTCTGGGAGAGGGGAGCCTGTGACCCTTAAAAAATAAATAAACCATGGCAAAGCTTGTGATGGAAAGCCTCTTTGAATCAGCAGCTGAGGAATTCCACATTAACTCTCGTTTCAGGTCTGCTCTTTTGAACTGTTTGTTTCAGCTTTCTTATTGTTTTTTTCATAACAAGCTTTGGAATTGGGACGAAAGACTGCCTGAAGAAACACATTTTTATTCAAGAGAAAGAATCCCAGCTTTGAGCGAATATATAGCACCCCAGACAGAGAAGCCTTACCAACTCCTCCTCAGAAACTTGTTCAGTACGCGTCTCTTATATTGCCATTATACCACAGGCCACCACAACAGAAAACCATAACCTATCATTGTTTTGCTTTCCATAACAGATTGAGATATTTTCATCAGAGAAACTCAGACTGCAGCTTTTGGATGTTTTGGGCTCACCATTATTACTGGGAAGCCTCAGATTCCTTTCATTAACACCGCACTTCTCTCCGGACATATTAAGCATCAGGTACGGTGCCCGCTGGTGAGCAACCTATCTGGGCGGGGAGGGAGTGGGGTAGTGGAAGGAAACGAAAGGTTGCGTCGAGAGGAATTTGAATTTCTGCGTCAAAAACGTCGATGCATATGCGGATTGGTAGAGATTTAATTTGACAATTATTGTCAAATTTGAAAGGATAGACCACATTACGTCAAGAAGAACACCGCAACTCATGCTATTGAAATCCTTCTTTCTGGCAATCAGCTAAAGCTGTACCCATGGAATTTTTACTTGCGTTTTAAAAGAGAAGAAAACTTGCTGCTAGAAATACGTCAATCGCAGGACCTCCCTAAGCAAACGGCTACGACGTCATCGGCCTGAATTTATTCCACTTCAAACAAATAAGTTCCCATTTAAAAAGGAGGAGTAAAACATCCCTACTATACTACTCAAGTCAAATAGGTTACAGCTACAATTATATTTGTAACTTTGACTTTGACTTTGACTTTATACGTAAATCATTCGTACCAGTAAATCGAAAATGTCTTTTGGTGTAACTGAAGGTTTGCGTCAGCTATATTTCTTACCATCTCACGGGATTTCTAACCATTTACCCAAACGATTATAAGCCATCCAGCTAAAAGCCCTTACGAGGTTTTTTGAAAATGAAGGCTTTTATGTATTGTAAGTTAAAAGAAAATAGATTTTTTTATGATTATTTTTATGCCCTGAACATTTTACAAAGGTATGAATGAAATATGGTGTGACATGTATTTCCTTAAAAAAAATGGGTAACTGATAAGTCCGTGTTGGGCTCCCTTTCCTTTTTCCAAACTCTAATATTTTTACGCCTCCACCCTCTAGGCGAGTTTTTGAATTGGAGGAAGACAAGGTGATCAATCGTGACACTGCCTACTTCGCCGTCAGAGGCTTGTCCCTTGGCACCGCAAGCCTCACTTTTACAGCGTCTGCCACAGGGAAGGGAAGTGCTACAAGCAGACCTAGGGATATTCAGGTACGTCAGCTAAGGAGAGCGAATGACGGATCTAATGTTAGGTTTAAGGTCGATTTTGCACTCGTTTTACTTACTTTACTAAGCAAATGTTACCGAGGGAATAAAACCCACGTGGGGTAGTCTAAACGTTTCTTTTCAGGGCGTTTCACACGGAGTGACAGTTACATCACCCCATACTTGATACTTCTTCCTGCCTCTTCCCCCTCCCCCCCCCCCCCCCCCCCCCCCCCCCCCCCCCCCCCCCCCCCCCCCCCCGCCCCCCTCACTCCCTTCCCCCTCCTCTCCTCTCCTTCTTTGTCCTTTTCTTATTTTTTTATAACCTTTTTTTTATTTTTCTTTTTTATTTTTTTTCGTTTTTTTTGTTTTTCTTTGTTCTTGTTCTTCTTTTTTTCCCCCCCTCCCCCCCCCCCCCCCCCCCCCCCCCCTTCATACGTTAGTTCCCTTGGAGCATGCTTGCACACATCTCTGTTCTGTACTGGTCTTGGCTTTGAGCAATTGTTCATATTAGCATTACATACATTTTGGTCCATACTGTGTTTTTTGGCGATAGGTTTTTGCACCGTTACGTCTGGATCCAAGAGTTGTTGTGCTCATTCGCGGAGCCTCATTTCAGGTAATACAGTTTTAAGTTTACTTTCTTTACCACTTTTGTTACATTCATTCAAAAACGTGACGTTTTACTTGACTTTTGATCTATCCGTCTTTTGATCTTATGAGGATTGTGTGGATATTAAAAATTACCAAAAAACCACTAAAACAATCAATCTCTGTTTCCGAAAGTGACTGCTCAAATTTGGAGTGGAATTTGTAATTGTAATTATCTAGGTACTATGAGAAAACATTTGATTCTGTGTGGCACGACTGACTTCTATGCAAGCTTGTTAGTGTCTGAAAGAACCCCTAAAACATTATACTTAAATTCAAATCGTGCCTTTAAAACTAAGTCGCCACAGTCTTAAGTAAATTTTTAAGTATTATAAGTCTCGCTTGCGTAAGCAGCTGGACTCATAATCTGCAACGAGTTTTCGCCTCGGGGGGTATTCCCTTGTGTAGGCCATATAGGCATATGCCGCGCCAAAGGGTATGTTTTTTAGCTGTTTTGGTCTGAAACAGGGTATCAATTTCGACCAGGGTATGGTTTGTGCACTCGTCTTGAATTGGGTTTTTTTTTTTTGGAAGAATTAGCTACTTCTTCATCATTTGGAGATAAGACCATTTCCCTTTTAATGTTTACGCCAACTACCGTGTACGTGCCGTAACAGCTTGTCACGCGCTCCGGTCACGCGCCGGGCTCCAGGGCTTCAGGTCTGAAATAGGGTATCAAATTTTGATCAGGTCTGAAACAGGGTAGGGAAGATCACAGATCTTGGTCTGAAATAGGGTAAGGGTTTCAAGAAGCGTGCCGGACACTCCTCCCAATTTTTCTGGAAGTATCCCCCCCCGGGATTTTTGGGACACAAAGGGCAGGTCATTGTGCCAGGCGTCCTTGCGGAGACCGTGGAAACTGGAACTAAGAATCTTTGCGCGATCAAAGCCACGTACGTTTTGCGAAGAAAAGCTTAGGAGAGATTAAATTTAGAGCTTCTCCGAAACGTGTCGGACCACGAATTCTGTCGCTTGAAAGCGTCGATTACTTTGGAGCAAGGGAACACTACTAAGTGGTCGAAAAAAGATAAGAATCTTAATTAGAAAAATTGCGATGGTCGGGTGTTTTAAACGTTCACTGTATGCAAATGAGTCTTGTGATGAGCGTGCGATTTATTTTCGGCGATTCAAATGACGTGCCATGTAAATCACTTTTTCGATATCTGGCAATGATGTAATTACTTTGGAATCGAGGCCCTTGAATTTTCGTGTATCTATATACACCCGTATAGGCTGCTACCGCAGAGGTATTTTTGGGCGTCGCTAACACGCGTACTAAATCAATTCAGAAACAAATAAAAAGTATCGACGTCGATAAAGGAGGAAGTAAAAAACCTTTAGCGAGTAAATCGTGTTTCTTGTAGAATTAATCGCCTCCCCATTTCTCGATCTAATCTCCAAGCAGGCGAGACCTGAATGCTCCTGTAAGCGTTTTCTTGTTCTTTAAATGAAAAGCATTTTGGTTTTTTTGGTTTTTTTTTTGTATTTTTTTCCTTTAATTTTGAACTTAGAATTATAGGTAGGTAGCTGTTATATTTAATACTGATGGAAATACCGTGTATGAATAAAGTTATCTATCTGCTTGAAAATAGCCAATCGCGGTCTTTTCGATTCAGTAGAGGTGTGCGTAAAGGTTGCAGTTTAAGTCCTCTGCTCTTTAACCTATATGTTAGTAACTGAGCGTTTTCGTTCAATAATATGTTATCTGATCCGTTTCTGCTACAAAATAGCACCAAAATCAACTCTCTTTTTTCTGCAAAGGACTCAATTCTATTATCACGATAATATTACAAAATGTGCGTAATCACTTACTCTTCTTGTAGTAACTCCTGGATGCTTAAAACCAAGAAAATGGTTTTTCAAAGATGCGCTAAAATGTTATATGTTTTTCACATAGGTAATGAAATAATAGACGTGTACAAGACTTGCATCCCTTCTTCTGGAAATTTTACACTTCGGCTTGAACACCTGTACTTAATGCGGCGTTATTTAGTTTAAGACGCCACGCTGATTTTAGTAAGCTGAACCTTCTTTTGCATGTAAAGGGTTTGATACAATGCTTCAACCAATGTAACCTACAACAGTGAAGTTTGGGGTGCTTCTGTAAAATCAGATTTGAAGTTGTGGGACAGCTCCGAAATTGAAAAAAGAAACACGTCTACTATTCTGTAAACGCCATGCTCCTTGCAGAGCTAAACTTTGAAGATTCCCTCTGATCCTTGACATAAAATAAAAAGGTTCTTTTAAATTACTTAAGTTACCTCCAAGAAAAAGATGAAGATACTTTTAATTAGTCTTTTGACCTTCATTCAATAGTTTACTCACCTGTCTTATGACGATGACTGACCACTATAATTTTTCTGACTATAATTGGCCAATTTCGAATTATCAAAATTAATACTCGGCTCCAAGGCTGAGGAAAATAAAACAAAAGAAATTAATTATTAATTTATGTATCTCAGTGTCATTTCCTTTGTTCAAACATTCAATGTATTTCATTCATGTCATCTTGTTTCAAATGGAGACAAACTTGTATTCGGGATATTTACTCCTACTGTATGAACAGTGGAAAATAATCAACGATTGGTTTCATTTTGTGTTATTTTAAATTATTTTAATTAGTAATGGTAACAGGACTGAGTGGAGTCCAATTCGGTCTGTAATCATACGAGTGATTAACAAAATCGGACGACCGCTTAGCGGGAGTCCGATTTGTTTAATCACGAGTATGATTACAGACCGAATTGGACGACACGAAGTTCTGTTACCAATTAATCGTAACTTTAACAAAATTTGTGATATAATAGGCTATTTTTTAAATCAAAACACAAGAAATTCGAAATTTTGTTTTGCTAGCAGTGAAAAAAAAAGCCATTTAAGCGCGCGCGTGATGGCGCGTACTGTCCTACTAGTTATAGTTGTCACTAAATCTGCCCCCGACCTTTTAAAACCCGAATGAAGACTCCTTGTGGTTGTCCATGTATTTGCCACGAACCTTTGAAATGCAGTTTTCGTATTAGAGTTTCTGAGTGTAATTCTTTTGTTCTCTTTTGTGTTTTCTCAATTATTACACTTTGTTTCCTGGGTTAATGAAAATCCTCATACATGACATGCCTAGGATGGACAATTGTTTTTTATACATCTCATAATGAGTTCAACCAACACTGCAAATGTAATAGAACGCGTGTTAAGCAGCAAAACCATCTTTAATTATCGATTTGTAACTAAATTTCCTATAACTAATGTGTCGAACGGATGCTTTGGCTTCGAGTGTGACATTCTCGAACGCAACGTCGAACGCAACTGATATACATGATCGCAATAAACTAACCCTACAAAAACATGGACCACTGTTTCAAGTTTCTCACCTTTGAGATATTTCCCAGTTCATTTTTTCTGGCATGTCCTTGTATCAAATAAAATAATCGGGATTTCGCAATAAACTAACCCTAAAAACACATGGACCACTGTTTATTAAACCCTGAATACCTTAATATAGAACAAAACCCGGTTATTTTACGATAGCACCTTTCTTGTCTTTGACTGGGTTTTGAGAAATTTGAGCTATTCCTGATATGGTTTGAATCGAGTTTGTCGATCCACGTTGACAAAACCAGTTTAAAGTTCTGTCGATCCACGTTGCTGATTTGTGTCTGACAAATCAAGTTCTTTAATACCAAACAATTGCAGTACTGCTGAATAACTTTTTAACTCTATAGAAATATGTATCTCGCAATAACCTTCGCGAAACTCGGTTTGGTAACGGCACTCAAGTTAAGCCCTGTCGGTTGGGGTTACGAACTGGACGGGTGACCAACCGCGAATATCGTGTTAAAGGTCCATACGTTGTTCTTTCTTTTCTTCTTCTTCTTCTTTTTTGCGTATTATGTAGTGTTATTGTTAATAGTGTATTGAAAAGCAGATTTAGCATTATTTCGCCGCCCGCATTTAGAAAAAGACAAAAAACAAAGAACAAATATGGCCCGGTGCAGTTCGCCTGCAAATTATTATTATTCGGGCCGTAATACGGAGCTGAAACTTTGCAGACTTTGATCTATATATCTGCGGGGAAACCGGCAAACTAAGAAATCTGGGTTTTCGACAGTGTAAAACGATCATAATTGCTTTGATTCCAATCTCCTGTTCCTCTGTCTGTTGTTGTCGGCGTTGCCTTCGCTGTGCTCATCGATGTTCCTTCTACTCCGCGGTTTCTTGTTGACGTCTTCTCCTTCGTTGTTCACGCTGAATTTGAAGTCGGCGTTCTCGCTCTAGAGGAGTTTCGGTGGAAAATCTTCCTTGGCGAGGATTTGGAGCCACTTGTTGTGCTTGTGTGCGACACAATTCGGCGAATGCGACTCGTTGACAAACCGAGTTTGCGCGATGCGCAGTTGCTGAGCCAGGCGCACATGCTGAAAATTAACCGGGACCACCGTGCGCGCCTAGTTTCATCAAATGGGGAAAGTTTCGCATACTAACAGCCCGGACTAACAGTAAGACGATACGATAATTCTTCTTTACGCGGGGGACATTAGGGTGCCTCCTCAGGTTCCGGCCCTGCGGGGCCAATTAAATGTCCAATTAAGGCTGAAATCAGGGCAGTTGATAGCCAATCAGATTTGACAATTTTGTTATAGTTATGATTAATAAAAGAATCAACAATTGGATATAAGTAGCTTTTAACAATACTTATTTCTTTCTTATGGTCATGCAAATAAAAAGTATGGTTGTTGTTGTTGTTATGTGTTTTTATTACTTTGATCTGTAACATTCCAAAAATTATGAGCGGCAACCTTGAAAGTTATTATGAACACAGGAGGCCCTGCTTTATTTTTGTGGAAAGCTGCTGGGCATAGGAAAGTGTCGTTATCACTTATGATCTTTTTTCTCATTCCATCATGGAAGTGATAGGGTACATGTATTTCAATTCAGTTACCTTGCCGGCGTTATTACTTGTCAGGTCCGGAGCACAGGTGGTCCAAGTCCACAAACAGCAACCTTGTTTAACGTCGTTAACGGAACTGTGGCATCTGTCAGTAGCGTGGGACTCGTTAAAGCCCTGCACCTTGGTACAACTAATCTAACTGGATCGGTTCAGGCTGCTGATGCTGCTAAAGGCCAAACATTGTTTTACTCCAAGGTGATTTAGTCTCAAGCGATAGAACAATACTTACTTGTCTCCATTAAAAGGCCATGGTGCCCTTGTAGGTAGACATCATTTTGCAGACTTCAGGTTGGAAAATTTGTAATAATAATGTTCCTCAGAGCCGTTTGAAAGACAGTTTAATTTTTGTTCTATGTCTTTCCCTTATCCTTTCGTAATTTCCTTTCTGACCTTCATGGAGCGTTGACTTGTTATTAGATTTGTGATGCTCTTGGATTTTATCCAAACGCCAAAGTAAGGATTTTGCGAACAAGGGATGGTTTTGATTAAAACGTCTTTCTCACCGCTTAGTTGAAATGTTAATGATGATAACGTTTTTGAGATATTATTACATGTCTTTTTCTGCTGTTCCTAGGATGTTATCATTGTTCACGTTGTACAACTCAAAGGAGTAAAAATTAACGTGGCCTCCACTAACTTGGTTACTGAGACAAAGGTATTTAGCAGCTTGAACTGAGTCGTACAGCAATGTTGTGATATCTTTAACTTAATTTTGTTCATCTAGGTGTACCAAACAAACATTTGATAACTTTAGCGTACAATATTTGATATAATGTTATCTAGCAATTAGCATGAACTACTTTGTGAATAATCCGTACATCTCGTAATATGTGGTCGAGCTAGTTGTTCGTAGGTCGATTAGCGCTAACCCGGGGTTAAACTCTAATCCAAGTTTCATTTTTTTGTTGTTGAAAAGCATTTTCATTTCATCAAATTATAGACAAAAAAACTTAAACTGAATTTGCTTTTTAAGCTTTCATTTTCAATTTCAATTTCGCACTAACCCTGGGTTACCTTAACCCAGCTTTGAACAACCCGGTCCAGGCAGCGAACAGCTTTTAACAGTCGTCGAAAAGTGTTGGAACGCCCAAGGTGAGATTTCGTGAATCCTTGCCAAACTTCAAGCTTCTACTAGTTACGGTAATTCATCGAAAACCTTCAGGTAGCATTCTAACAATTTCCAAACTTAAACGAACAACAGTTTCCGGGGTTTTTGAAAAGCAGTAATGGATTCACATCCATTCAAGTTATTAGTTTGCTTTCTCCGTTCTTTCTTCTCAGTTTTAGAGAAAAGTCTTCTCTCCTTTTTGTCGTCTTCTTTTTGGACAGGTAAGCATTTTTGCGTCTGGCTTGAGTGATGAGACTCCATTTACCTTTGCCAATGCTATGCTTGGGTTGAAGTTCCGCTGGAGTTCATCCAATCCGGATGTGTGTCAAGTCAAGTCTGTGTACGCTCTGGTAAATTACTCTACAACTTGTATCTTACTACTAGTATTGAAACTAAACCCTTTTTATTTATTACTCGTGTTACGTGGCCAAAACACTTGCGCCAAATAAAATTAAGTGCTTATGAAAAAAGGAACTCTGTTTTATTGTTCTGTTTTATGACCATTTTGCCATTCACATTAAATATACACTCATAATTTAGAAAGATGAGGTAAGAGAGCCTATGGAAGCCAATAAGGCTTATAATAATATATGACTTAATTACTTAAATGAAACACTGGCATAGGCAAGACAATTTAACCAAACACATACAATTTCTGTACAACCTAGAAAATAATCATTAAATAGGATAACAATAGTTAAAGCTGAACGTGCAGGTGCTTCCCTGGGTGCCAGAGGCTTTTCATGCGCGGTTTCTGGTATTTCCGCGCGAAGCTCCCCGTCGCACGCGAGAAAAAACCTCTGGTACCCAGGGTATGCAAGTGCAGAAAAGAAAAAGAAAAAGTGAGACGAAATAATGCAAAAATACGAGGGAAAAGAAGCGAAAAAGTACACGCAAGCATTAAGAGAAGTTAACTATACTTATATCAAGAAAACTGACCTTAGTGTAGAAGTGAACACAGCAATACTAGAGGCATTCTGAATTTCAGAGCTAAAGGCATTAAATATTTGGGCCCTTGAAAACCATGTGAAAATTTCCTTAAATTTATCCTACAGTGGCTAACTAGTGTTATTTATACGAATGTGCGTCATAGTTGAATAAAAACATGTCATTAAAACTATCAGGACGAAGGCCGTTTTTGTAGAGATACGTAACTTTACCTATATGAAGTTTGATAATTTCTTCAAATGTTAGAATTCGTAAGGTCACAAAATAGGATTGGTATCTGCATCAAAAGTACTCCTGGAAATTATTCTGATAACCGGTTTTTGAAGGGTAATCAAACGTTTAAAATTTGACTGATAAGTTGAGCCCTAAACACTCGCACAGTAATGTAATCACAGAGAAGCTACTCTACATAGCCGTGCAACTTATGACTTTCCCTAGCAAAACTAGCTGAACTAATACATCGAGTGTCAGGGCAAGCAGTCGAACAGGACTGTAGACGCAACGCTGAGATAAACGGCTGCGTGTGAGATTAAATAAATTAATCTGAACAGTATTCATTTCATTCGAAGGTTCAGAAGTTTTAACAAATGTTTTACTAAAAGTTGACCTCTGTAATTGTCTCTGTTGTTGTTTTTCTCTTGATTTTTTGTTTTCTTTTTTTGTCTATGACTGAAGAGTGGCGTGGCTGTTGAAAGTGAGAAAGACTTTCGAGTGGACCTCCACTGCACTAATCCAGGCCAAACGACTATCACACTCAGGTTGGAGATAACTGACCAAAGATATCAACAGGCTCACTCACAGGCCTTGTTTCGAGATGATGTTACATTTGACGTAAGAGACCCAAATTCCTTTTTCATACTATTCACAAATATTTTCATCTACCCATCCACAGTTGTGCAAAAATTGATTTTGCGCTGGGGCAAATCTCTGAGTCACTAATTTTGTCTGAGTTATTAGCCCCCGGGTAGATAATTCCTCCTAGCATGAAGTTAAAGGAAATTTAACGCAGCTAACAACAAGGAGCGGTCTCTTGTTGTCGGTCAGCGGTCAGTGTGGTGGCGCAGCGCAGTCAGCCTTGCTTGTATCAGCTCCATGTGCTTAGTGCGATGCTTCCATGGTGGTCACTCGCTTTGTTTAGCCTTTGGATCGTGCCTTTTTTCCCCTCCCCTTCCCTCCCCTACAGAGAGGAGAAGTTGTTACGTCACGTTGCCATGGTAGCAAAATTTTTGGATGATCAAAGCGGAAACGACACTTAAAAAGTGTATTCGCACATGTTGGCGAAATTCTCTAGGTTTGAATCCGAAAGTACCGTATCTAAGTTTAGAAGAGGAAAAAGACAACTTTTGTGTTGTGTTCACCTACTCCATAAAGCAAGCATGTGAAATTGGGAATTTTCCGGTCGCATGGGCGCATCGACGGCAAAAAAATGTGCAAAATAGCTCGATGCACGTGTAAATTTGCTGTTTTGTCACTAAAAGCCTTTTACTTTTTTTGCCGTTCTCCTTCTGTCGCCGTCGTCGTTGGTTTTGTTGTCATCCAGAAATAGTGCTACCATGGTGACGTGACGACATACTTCTCTCCATTCTCCACTGATATATCAGTGTGATAGGTGCCTGGTTCCATTGGCTTAGGGGCTTACTGGCTGGAAGGCACGGGTTTACCAGCCGTGGGGGCGTAACTCTGTCCAGTTGCTGGCTTTGCCAAAAGTGGAAGCTTCTGGACATCTCGGGCACCCACCTCCATTGAACGTCGCAGTTGTTAACGGCTGATTTTTAGAGGATGAACAAGTTTTAAGGACAAAAAATTCCCAGAAAACAATTAGGGAAGAATTTCAGACGATTGTTTTGTTATAAAACAATAACTGCAGTATTAAGTGTTCTTGGGTCTACGAGACATTGCAACATTTCATTTTGTCGTTGGTAAAGACAAGGAAATCTAACCTGCATCTCAGTATTTTGTCGATGACGTCTTTAGGTGTATCAAAGACTTCAGCTGATCTTTCCTATAACTGGTTTTATGTTGTTACCTCACAACGTGAACACGAGACTTAAAACTAACAGGTTTGTGAAATGTGTGTTCTTGTCTATATTACTAATAGATCAAGTATTCTTCCGCATTATCGAAAACATACTCCAGCGAGACCTTTCTACTGAACCGGTTTCGGTCGAATGATATCCTGGTTTATAGGTGCATTATATTTTTTGACGTCGGAGTTTATTTCACTTGCTTTATTTAAACTTGTCCCGGGTGTTTAATGTCTCGAAGTTGATTAATATGTCATCTTTCTCAAGTTCGAGATATCCCATGCATAAGTCTTTTATTTTTTTTCTCAAGACTTGTGTTGCACCAATAATCATTCTACTCCTTCAACTTAAACCTGATTATAATACTCTTTTTAGGGATGGGTCGGCAAGAATTACTTACGAGCTTATCACAGATTGTTCTCAACGTACAGTGGCATCCAACAGTCCAGCGGTGGTGTCAGTCAATCGAGGAGGTCAACTGTCCACTTCATCAGTGTCTGGAACAGGTGTTGTGTTGGTGACTATCCATGAAGAGTTTGGCATCAATCAAACTGCCGTTGTGCATGTGGAGGTATATCAACCCCTATTGTTTCACAACCGTGGCTTGTTTGACAAAACTTTGAACTTCCTTTCATCTTTATTTAGGGAACATCTATAAAATCCCTTTTTGAATACTTAATCCACTCGAAACGGTGGTTTGAATGCGGTTTTCTTTTTACTAACCTTAGGTTCTGAGCCTGCTTTCCACTTGTGTTTATTGAGAGGCCAGAACGCTTCTAAGTTTTTTCGTTATAGTACAAGCTTTCTACATACATTTTAAAACCATTGTGTCCTTCTAACAAAGAAGTTGAAAACAATTGCATCCAGGTGAGACTAAGCTTACACAGCTGATTTATGGCTTCGATGTCCAGCAAAGCCGAACTAATGTATAAAACCCGAAAGGAACTCTTTTTAATTGGGGGTTTTAACCAAGATATGTACATGAACTTTGTCGAAAATCGACTTCCTAATAAAAATCTAGTTGATTTTCGTCATCGGTTGTGCTTCTTAAACAAAATAACGGAGCTGACAAGGGTAACAGATAGAACAAAGAGCTTACTTGATGTTATTCTGGTCAGTCACTCAGAACGCTACATAATTTCGGGTAATTTGCAACTTGGTTTAAGCGATCACGATCTTTGTTGTTAGGAAAAGTAAACTTCTACTCCCAAAGCCATGCTTAATTGAATATCGCAGCATAAAGAACTTTGACAATGCGGAATTCTTGACCGAGTTAAAAAACGCCCCTGGGGCACAACGCATGCGCCGGTCAAGAAAAAATGGGTGCGCAGTGATCAATTACCCTGGATCTCAACTGAAATTCAGCACGAAATTGCCCGGCGCAATTGGCTGTTTAAACGCTACAGGAAGAACCCAACTAATAATCTCTGGGTTGCGTATAAGCAACAGCGTAAATAGAATACTGTAGTCCCCTCCTGTTAGGGGTGGGGAAATTCCAGGCCAATAAAATTGAAGACGCGAATCATTATTTATTAAGGACACGGGAAATCATTGTCTTACCAAGAACTCTTAAATATATGTAAGTTGGACACTTTAGAGTGTAGGAAAAAGCAGCAATCTCTGATCCTATTATTTAAATGCATTAGGAATATAGGGCCGAAATACATTAAGAGACTTTTTTAGCATAAGGGAAACGTCTTACAGTTTAAGAGGAAATGGAAATCTTTGCGTTCCCAAAGGTAATCTTAATTTTATGAGGAACTCTTTTACTTACAAGTGCGCTCAGCTATGGAATATACTTCCAGAAGATGTCAAGCTGGCCAATGATGTTAATATTTTTAAGTCTAAGCTAGGATCAATTTAGTTGTAATTTGTATGTTCTTAAATTTTTTTGTAATTTTTATAATTTTTTATGTTCATGTGTACATAGATTATAGATTACATTTTTTTACTAGATATTGTTATTATTATTGTAGATTTAATGCACGTTCATGTTTTGAACGAGCACTTGTGCTCTTAGACGAGAACGTGGTTAAATAAATTGTTGTTATTGTTGTTGTTATTGTTATTGTACACATCAAATAGTATTATGTAAAATAAAAGGAAAGGCTTGTTAAAGAATACTCACTTGCTGTCCGACGTTAACACCATTTGTAGGTCAAAGCAGTGTCATCATTATCCATCACATGTCAGTCTCCTCCTGTCAGAGCAAACTCAGACGAGTTCCAGACTTTCCCTCTGGGTATGAATGCGTTGTTCGCTGTAACTTTGCATGACAATATTGGACGGGAATTTGCTGTTGCTAGTATTCCTCTAAAGTACAGATTGAACAGGCAAGTTGCTAAATTAAAGAAGATTAAACTATTTATTACATTACCAGAAGATAACATCTTGTTCTAAAATAACCATTTATAGTAGAGGTTATGGAAAAAAAAAGAGAGAACCTTTTATGTAATTGAATTAGATATCTTAAAGTAGTTTTTACCAGGTTTTATGCAGTTTGTTTTTTAAGTACCGAAAGTAATTTTAGTGTTCAACATATTTTTTTTGTTGTTGTTGTTGTTTGTTTTTTACGCTGACGAAAATAGCGGCTATTGATTTCGGCGCTACATAAAATTTGTTATTATTGGGCAAACTGAATGTCAAAGAACGCACATCCCGCATACAACTTTTCAAGTATTGAGTCTTGAGTGAAGTTTGCAGCGGCCAATATGTATGTCGTAGTCTCATCCGTTCAGAAGCCCTTTAAAAACATTGAGACGTTTATTAAAGGACTTGAGTATAGGACTAGGAATTTGTTTTCACTTTCTGGCCTTGCATACGGTGGGTAAGAATTTGACTCCAGGTGCATTCGCTTTATATTTGAGAAAAAAAATTAAGCGAGTTGGAATTACCGTACAGCATCAAGGAACTCAAATTGAATTTGCCATAGGCGTTTTTGCTACCGTCACGTTACTCCCTACTAGTGTCCTTACACACGATTCGCTGCCTGCATCGGATGCAGGGAGTGATGTGTGCTCATTAGTTGTATTTGTGGTATCAGTCATTTACGACGCTTCGGATCCCTAACCTGATGCATGCACTTATTTTGTTGTGGATAGGTTTGATGCTGTCCATGTTGCACCTGGACCTGAAAATGGCACATTTTATGCTCGAGCAATGAACTTCGGAGAAGCCATTCTTAAGGTCAGTAAATAGTAAAAATTCGGTTTAGAAAGTTCAGCGTCTAAAACGAAAATATTCAAAACCACAGTGACCTCGTTCATTACGCATACAGGGGAAAAATCCGCAAGCTGGAAGTGCAAGATGAAGTAAAAATGAAAAATTATACAAATAACACAAATCAACACACAGTGTTCATAAATATACAATAAAGTATGGACGTGTAAAAATGATCGCCGTCCGGAAGTGTGTACAACGTTTTATTCGCATGCATGGAAAGTAGTGCGTCATACCTGGGGCATGGAAGAATGGGTCTCTAGCCATGCATTCGAGAAGTTATAAGAAAATGCACACAATAGTGGCGGTAATTTATCCGGCGCGAAGAATTATGGGGTAAATGTCATTATGTTCTTCTTTTGAATTGAAGAAAGATCCTCACTGTTATATACACCACTTGGTCAGATTTAAACCTAAAGAAGAAACGATAGTCATAACATCATACAGTACTCTCTCGACATCAGTGGTCATAGTAATTTTACAGGACGCGGGTGATATATAAATCTAGTTTATGAACTTGCTGGGTCCCTTAGAGTGACTCCGTATCTCAGCTGGTACAGGCGCCCGCCCGGTGTTTGGGAGATCAAAGGGAGGAAACTCCTTTTTTTTTGCTTTTTGTGCCCCGCTTGAAACGTGACGATTATCACATCTTCCCTTCCACCACCGAACTTGAAATTTAAAGTTACCCACCTCTCTCTACCGCAAAAGCGATCCCCTGAAGTCCTCACAATACGTAAACGTGATTCAGGAACGAATGACGTACATTTTAGATCGCTAGAAAACAAATGAACGGTTTAGGCCGCGAGGAGATACCCCTCTCAGAGAAACGCATTGTTGGGCTTTTAAACTAAGCAACAGATTTGCTGGGTACATTTTCTACAGTGGCAAGGGTTTTTAGCAAATTATACGCTAGGAAGACTGCATTTTCACATGCATAAAACCCTGTGTTGTCTCTCTCTAGGTGTGGGATCCGAGCGCAGCGGACATAGCAGACTACATACGCATAAGGGTAGGACATGGTCTGACTCCGTCGAAAGCCACACTGTTACTAGGAACGGTACAGCAGTTCAGCACTAGTGTTATATCAGAAGGTACTATTAGAAATCAGTCGAAACAAAAAAAAGATACTTATACATTAATCACGTGTGTATGAGCATGCGCTTGTGTAGCGATGGGTCTTTATTTGATGCAACTTTCGCTCTTTAAGTTACTACGGCTATACACCGACTTTTAATATGCGATTAATCTTCGTGCTCTTCACACAATTTATGCCATAGACCCAGTTACCATCAGGAATTTAGTGGAATATCTCCATGTTTTACTATCTTGTAGTATTGTCAAGGTTAGGATGATACCTTCAGAAAAAGACGATAACATGGGGGGAAGTAATCTTTGTAGTCATTTTATTTGTATAGAAGTATATTATTTAGCCGACGTAGCCGTTTAGTCAGAAGCACGGAATTTTTTTTTTGCCCAAATATAATCAGAGAATTCAAGGCTAAAAACTTGGAGCTTGTTACGCTTATACATGTATTTCTACCACCGAAAGAAATCGTTCCGTGGCATAAAAGATGAAGTAATTTTGCTGCTATAAAATGCAACCCTGGGAACACATAAAGAGCCACAATGTTAAACGGTATGGCTTGAAAACTTCGACCAGCGACGAAGTAAGATAAGGCTGTTTACATTTCTTCACTATATCACGAAGCCTCTCGCCGAAATCAGCAAAATTCATCTGCAGTCTGTTTGACCTCAAGCTACTAGCTGCAAACCTATCTACCAGTTATCTGTAGCTTCTGTTCTCATTCAGTAAAACCAGCATGGTGACTACAAACAAAATGATATGGCAAGCTTTGCAGAAGCGTTGTGCAAGGCGACGAAGTCGGAACGGAATCTTTTTTTTTTTGGAGTTTAGAATTTTGAATTCTTTCAGAACTGTACTCGAACCAATTACATGATTATGGCAGTTTTGATTAGACTTGTGACGTGTAAAAGCTTGTTTTCGTTTTGGGGACAAAGAAAAGTTTTAAGCTGCAAAATTTACCTTCGGGGAATTCGACCTTGTTTCCTTCACGGCGAAGCCCCTGTCCTTTTCTGAACTGCGACCAAGTCAGCAAAGTTTTTAAAGATTTTTCGGGTACATTTTACACATTATGCTCTTGGAAAGTACGTTATTGAAAGGAGATTTATGTATCTGTAAATGTTTCATAGACGTTTAATAGGTTTTTGATAGAGTTTTAAAGAAAAATTGGGAAATGTGCCCGATTTGAGACAGATTTAGTGTCAATTTTTGCCATGTGCGCAGCCGATTTTACTTTTGTGAACGGATCCACTATACAGTCAGTGTTACGTGATTGCTTTTAACGGTAAACTTATGGGTTTTCGATTAAAATTTTTCAAGAAACAATTTGTCTGTCTATTGTTTTCTGTTTGCTCATTTATAAAATTAGTTGAAAACATCGTCGTGAGACAGCATCTATGTAAGCAACTTGCATTTCATTCTTCTTATTTCACGCATCACTTCTGCGAAGATGTCAGCGAATTTTATACAATTTTTACTTTCGAGTTCAGCAGCTAGTTTATTAGAAAATATGTTACTAGTTATTCTAGATAGATAGAAAGTGATTTTTTTAAGGATATTTGCGCTAATGGTCACCCAAAAACCCGTTTTTGAAGTGACAACTTCAAGAAATCGCTTCTCGTACGGTGCATGTCATGAGTAGTCGACTTTGTCCTGTTCGGAGGAAGTCAATCCTGGTCATTTGGGTCTGAATAATATTCCGTTTTTCGTCAAATAGTTAACCTCGTAAAACAGTAGTTGCCTTTTGCAGTGCATCATGTAGATCTCGATACAAGTTTTCCCAAGCACTTGCGCGATAATCTCGTTCATCAGTAATTCCATATTGGGAAGTAAATTTTGATTGATTCCCTAAAAATCCGCGGCATTGGGACAGAGTTATACGCTTCGCGGTTGTATGCTTCTGATTTGTATTAACCTACATTTGATGGCATTGTCTGATATCCTGTTGGAATTTGCTATCCTATGACGGTTTGTTTAGCAGTGGACATTAGAAACTACTTCTTTTTAGTTTGTCTCAACGTTCTGATATTGTCTACACCACCAGTTTTTTCCTTTTAAAGAAGCTTTACAGACCCGAACGATCTCATTAGTTAGTCATCTGATACACCTGGGTTCAAAGCAATGGCCGAAACATTTTGCTCAGTTATTTTTTGGTACGAATTAAAATTTAGCGAGTTTATATGTAAGTATAAACTTTTTTATGATTTGTAGTTCTTTTCACTTATAATACCAAATGAGATGTCCATATACCTTAGTTCAATTATCAATATCAAGGTGGAAATTTATCAGGAAAGGCATTCCGTATAATTTGTCTCTAATACTCCAATTGAAAATTCGTATTTTTTTGGCACAACCTTTATTTCCGTCAGAAATTTCAGGCTTTCCTGTTTCACACCTGAAAAGCGACAAAATTTCACCCATCGAGTCACGCCTGCAAAACGTAACTCAAAAGGGCCTCAAAAGGTCCATGGTCATTTTTTCGTACTAACAGGAATTGTTCTCCAATTTAAGGTGTTGGAGGTGTGTGGTCTTCCTCAAATAGCCGAGTAATCAACATCAACTCGACAACTGGCGTCGCTGTGGCAACAGCGGCAGGAACAGCTATTATTTATTACAGGATCCCAGAACTTTATTCTGCGCAGACGGAAGTCAAAGTCGAGAGTTTGACTTATATCCGTGTCATCCCAGATGACTCTTTGATTATCACAACCGTCCAACGTCATGATGGCCGAGGTTTTGTCATTCCCGTCAGTTTGGGTCACGATACGCTTTCTGTAGAGGAGACATCCAAAACTTCTGGCCTTCCCGATGGAATACTGCTATATGAAGGCTTGGGAGCTCAGTATTCTATTCCTGTCCACTGCATTCTTAACTCGGACTATGGTAATAACTTCTTTGGGGACATAAACTTCTACGATCCGTACGACGTTTTTGAGGTCAAGCCTGGACTATTTAATGGCAAACTGATGTGTTACTTGATTCCAAGAATTTTGACAGCAGATGTCGAGCATGCTGTAATTATGAGCGAGGCGAAGCTCAGCCTTACTGTTAAGGTGTTTGATGAGATTCACGGACGCAGCATCTCATCAGAGGCTACAAGCCTGCCATTTTTACCTCCCTTCCAGCTCGGGGATACTGAACTGGAGTTAACAGCTGACACAAGAAAAACGACTATCACTGTTGTAGGCACTGCTGATCAGCTAAATAACCTAGAGGTAAGAGATTTCCTATTACTTTTGAATAAAAAGAACATGGAGTAAATAGACCGGTTAAAATATTTCACTCCCAGAGTCAGTCCTTCATATTTGTTACATGATTTTTAAGTCTCAAGCTCATATCAAACCTCATAGCTCAATTACTCAATTGGAAGCTGCAACTGCTTCTCACTTGGCATTGGTAAAATGTTTATAATACAGTCAACTCCCTTTATAGCGGACACTATAGGGACCTTAAGTTAGTGTCCTCTGTAGCGAGAGTCCGTAATAGCGGGAGTTTATTTCAGTCAAATGTCTGTAATTTATTTTTGTCCGAAATTTATCTGCTGTCCGTATTATCGAGGTGTCCGTTATAGCGGGGTGTCCGCAAGGCGAGAGTTGACTGTACAGTAAAAGCCCACATATAAGAACCCAGTGATTTGAGAACTTACAGGCTGAAATTTGGCACCAAGTAACCCAAAATATAAGAACCTGTTCAGCCTAGAAAAGAAAAATACGTTCTTATACAAAAAAATCACTCCAATTTTGATCGTCAAAATTCTGGTTTTTAATTGTGTGAGAAACTTCTGACAAAAAGTTATTGTGTATATGTTTTCTTTGATTTACGTTTGTTTGGATTTTCACAAGAAATCTGTTTTCCATAAACCATTATGTATCAGTAGCACAATTTTTCTGCTAAGGGCTACACTACAACAACCTCTGAAAAAAAAACAACCTATTAAGAACCTAATTAGCCGGAATTGTGAAGAACTACCCTATAATATAAGAACCTGTTCAGCCTGACCCCCAAAATTCTAGGTTCTTATGTGTAGGCTTTTACTGTATTTGGACTTTCTAATGTGGTGAACTGTAGCTGAAGATGACTGATCAGTACAGTACCTGTGGTACCGTTTGTTTTAAAAAATATTCCATATTCAGGGCTCGAAATTAACTTTTTCGTTCGGGAGCCAGCTGGCGACTAACGGAAAAATTTTGGTCGCCAGATCGTAAATTTTGGTCGCCAACTTATTTTGTATATAACTTACACAAGAACACGATTTTATACGTTACTTTGCACGCAAGAAAAGTCACAACTGAAGAGCCAAAACAATTAGAAACAACATGAGTAACACTTAGTTATAAAGCTACCGTTGTTCTCAGGTTATATGTCTCAGGTCCGAAGGTGATGGTTGTCCCCATAGTCATTTTAAATGAAGCGAAGCATAAAACGTTTTAAGTCCGTGGTTTTCATTCTGAGACAAACACGGGTCCTCGCGTATTTGCCCTTTGCTACTTCTACGAAATGGCGTTCTTTATTTTCGACTTGCTTTCCTCGACACCTTTCGCTGCCGACAAACAACGCCATGCTTGGCCCAGGCCTCTACACAACCACATTGCTCGTACCAGTCTCCGACCGGGAGGAAACATAAATGGGCTAAGTGCCGTTTTTCGGTCTTCGTTTCATTTTAGACAGAACGTTGTAGGAAAATAAAACCTAAAATATTGCGGGAGTTTACGGAAGCACCCGCTTGAATTAAATCGCTATCTCCTTACCTTAAAGTATAAAGAAACGTTGTTAAGAACTATTCACTCAGGTACTTTTTCTATTAGTGATAGTTATATCCATTTATTAATCGCCCACTTTCCCTACATCAACAACTGATGAAGGATTCAAAGTTTGTATTAACCTTTTGGCTGAATCTTCATTCCCCGTACGTAAATACTCACGTATTTCCTTCAACTGATTTGTATCTGCCGCCATTTTCGCGGCAAATGAAAAGCACATGGTGTTGAAGTGCGCCTGCGATCCCAGGTTCGGAAGAAGCCACTGAAACAATATGGCGCGCCGTGAATGCAGTTTCGACGTGTCGAAATACGTTCAATTTTTTCGATTATCTTGTAATATTCAGACATTATTTTACTGGGGACGGAAAGGTGAGTTGTATACTAGCTACCATATCCGATTGATTTCCTAATATAAAGATTTAAAAACAAAAGTTGTGTCGTGGTTTTCTTTAGCCATCAGACAAAACGCGAGTCGCCAGTCCTAAATTTTTGGTCGCATTGGCGACCAGTGAGTCGGAATGTTGAGCCCTGCATGTTGAATTTTCGATGTTTGCGTAATTTTGTTTTTAATTTCCCGATTTTAGAGCTTACCGGTTTATAAAGTAATTTTAGGATCGTCATTTCATTTTTCTTTTTTCACCAGGTAAGGTCCCAGGACTCATCACTAGTAGACCTCTCATACCTATCTCGTACGGGGGACAGACGAGTGGAATACGCGATAGAAGTGATAGGACAAAATCCCAAATCATTTAAGAAATTATGGGTGGAATTTAAAAGCAAGCTAACGGGCCAGCGAGCGTTAGTGTACGTCTCCTACTCTGCCCCTTATGGAGGTGCCGTCCCTATTTTGTTGCCAGGTGGAGGCGAAAGCGGGCAACAGTGTCCGACAGCCACAGGAACACCAACCGACAGGAGTTTTCAAGGTTTCCTTCTAACGCTACTTGGCCACACAAGTGCTTGGATCATTGGTTTCTCCCTCTTTATTGGCTTGCTCATTCTTGTATTGATCCTGTGCTGCACACCAAGGCACAGGGATGTTGGTCCAGGTGGTGTTACGACGAGTCCTGTTTCAAGCGCCTACGGTGGTACCCCATTTCGTGGGAGCTCATACGGCCAGGAACCATATCGTGAATCCCCTGCGGGAACCTATTCTGCTGGAAGACGCCCCTATGTTTTTTCACCAGGGGCAGGTGATATATCATCAGGACGATCTATCCCCGAGGAAAACGATGATACTCGACGAGAGCGTCTTGCAACATACAGGCGTACCCATACTACCAGCCGTGCCTTTCTATCTGAAGAAGGTTCTCAAACACCCGGAGGTTCACTGCCTTTAGGTCGCGTATCTCCGAGTAAATCTCCTGGTCTTTTCAGTGTTACCCAGTAACACAGTGGAAGTTATTTGTTTTAGGGTTGGGGTTTTGATATAAAGAAGGATTAGCGTGGTGTGATATTTTCCATTTATGGCAATCTCAGTTTAATAAGACATCTTTGGTCATTTCCGTGCTCCTTAGATTTCATGAGAAAGGAGCTTTCTCGCTTGTTCGCGTGCGATAACCGGATATATTGGCAAGAAAAACTACTGTAAGCTCTTGCTGCTTGTGGACGCATGTCTTCCTTTCATAGTCTTTTATGACAAGGAAGTCAGTAATTTCTTTTTGTCACGTCAAAGCAGAAGTGGCGTTTACCGAGTTGTTTTGCTTAGATGTACTGTGTCCATTATGGGGTTACGGTCCATGCATCACCTCACTTTAAGAGGAATAGCAATGCGTTTCTCTCGTAGGCTATCATATTTGAATTACATTTTCGGCCCCCCTGATTCGCCAACATATTTATTTATTCACCAGGCTTAAAATTCACCACCTCTTCAACTAAGGAAATGCCACCTATTGGACATTTCAATTGCAACAGTACGTGAACATTTAGGTCGCAGGTTCAGCTGGCTCTGGGAAAACTAGTTATTTTTTCCCAAGTCGGCTGTGTTTTTGACAGAAACCCATCATTCTACGTTGTCTATGCGGTAAGAGTTATAATTAATACTAACCATGACTACAAAAATCGCATTGTTCTAATCTACTGAATATGGTACACTAGCACTGCAAATAAAGTGTGATCATTGCTTTCTTTTTCTCGTCGTTTACTAAACCAACAATTCGTATTTCTGGGTACAATTTGAATTATTGTTGAAAGTAAAAAAGAACACATTCACAAGTTAACCTCTCCTTCCTACAACCCTTCTAAAGTCGAACATTTAGTCATGCAATCTCTTGTTCAATTCAAATGAATCTCTTTGGCAGATATTTTCAATAGCACTTTTCACTTTCTGCATCTTGTGGGATGAAATCTGAAGCCTGTCTTGAATGTTCGACTTTGGGTTGTCTAAGGAGTGAAGGGACCACTGTGAGAAGTATTTGCCGTCATTGTACTATTTCTTTTGAAACATTAAATCGCTGCTTCAGAAAGCTCAGTTCGGATGTACTTCGTACGTTAGCTCTAGGACTTGATTTTAATGAACTTATAACAAATGGAAAAGCTTTCACTCTTGTGCGATATTCTATTAACAAAAACAACCTTATTGTCGGTCTTTTGTAGTAGGTTTGTCTCGATAAAATATACTTGGTAAGATGATTTTCGTCCTTGTCATTAGTCCTGATATTGTGCTTCTGCTCTTCAACACTGCTCCTATGTACAATAAGAATTCCTATTGGCGGTGAACAATAAATTTAAAAATTGGGAAGAAGTTAAATGCCTAATTCCTGCAACTATTTAGTTGTTGAGTTGTTGGTACTACTACTACTAATAATAATAATAATAATTATTATTATTAATATTATTATTTTTAAAAAATGTATAACGCGTCTTTTCCATGTAATATGATCAAAAGGGCGTAACAGCTGATGCTTTAAACATTAAAAGAAGATGAAAGCTAAAATGAACATAATAATTAAAGCTAAAAAAGTAAACAACGCTAAAAATTTAAATAAAAACACTTAATATACAATACAATACAAATTTTATTGTCAACTCCCCATTGGAGCTTTTCAGAGAAAATTATTAATAGTGCAGGTAATCAAAAAAAGAAAAAAAAAAAGTATCACAAATTGATTATCTATAAACTATTAAGAAAATATTTACATATAAATTTAGGACATTAAAAGTTGATTTAAAAGGAAGGCTTTCATTTTACGTTTGAAAATGATAAGAGATTCACTTAATTTAAAATGGGGTTTTAACGCATTCCACAATGTTACAGTTCTGTAATAAAAAGATCTCTGTCCCGACTTGGTTTTAAAAAGCGGTATATTAAGCTGGGAAGATGATCTGGTCGTCCGACCACTTTTATTCCCTCTGGAGATAAATTTTGAACTGAGGTAGTTTGGTACCTGACCTGTCATAGATTTAAAGGCCAAGATGGCGTCTCTTAGATACAGGTGGGACTTAACTGGTATCCTTCTCAGGTCTTTCAGGGCTGGAGATACGTGATCAAACTTCCTTGTCCCAGAAACTATACGAGCAGCGAAATCCTGTACTCCTTGTAGTTTGTGTATATTCCTTACAGAAGTATTCGACCAGACGGACGAGCAGTAATACAACTTACTAAACACGAGAGAATTGATTGTTGTAACAAGTATGTCTTTTCTAAATATATGTTTAACTCGGCTAATTTGCCCTAGGGCAGACATACAAGATGATGGTGTTTTAATTATGTGGTCGTTGAATGAGAGTTTACTATCAAACACTACACCCAGGTTCCTTAACAGAGTCGACGGGTAAAAGTTCTTTACCCAAGAGGGTAAGGCGAAAATCCTGAAGTTTCGATATCATTTGCCGACTTCCATATACAATCAGTTGAGTCTTGTCCGGGTTTAGGAGTAGGCTATTATTAAAACACCAATTACGTAGTTTAATAAGATCATCGTTCATCGCGGCCATAGTCGGTTCACAGTCCTGCACTTGGAATGACATAAGTAATTTATTGTCATCAACGTAGCAGTCCGTGGAACAGTGTTGTGGGATTGATGGCAAGTCATTGTTGTAAGCCGTGAAGAGCAAAGGACCGAGGATGCTTCCTTGGGGAACACCGTACCTCATTAGCAGGGGTTCGGAAAGAGCAGTATTTATACGCACAGCTTGGTACCTGTTTGACAAGTAGCTCTTGAACCACAGGATGGTAGAGGGTGACAAGCCAATATCTTGTAATTTTTTAAGCAGAATATCGTGGTTGACACTGTCGAATGCTCTGCTCATATCAAGGAGAACTACAGCTGATGTTTTCTTTTGGTCAATTGCGGTGAGAATGCGATCAGAAGTGTAGATCAGTGAAGTCTTGGTGGAATGCCACTTTTTATTACCACTTTGATGAGCGGAGAGACGATCGTTCTCCACCAAGTAGGGCATAAGCTGATTTAAAGCGATACGCTGTCATAGTTTTGAAAGAACAGGTAATAGGGATATAGGCCGGTAGTTATTTGGCTTTTCGTGATCGCCGTCTTTCAACACGGGGATCACTTCAGCTGTTTTCCACTCAATTGGAAAGGTATTACTTGCGAGGGACTCGTTGATTATGGACGTCACGGACGGCAAAATAGCAGGAAGGCTATGCTTGATCACTCGAATGCTAATTTTGTCAATCCCCGGGGCTTTGTCACTTGGCATGTAATTACCTTTTGGACTTCATCACAATTGACGCGTCTAAATGAAAATTGTTGTGAGAGAGATAGCATCTTGGCACAAAACATGATTGTGTGAGGTCGTAGCTGCATTCATTTGCCAACGAGTAAATTTTTTCAACTGCGTTTTGACCGATAGAGTTAAAGAATTCGTTAAACTCTTTGGCCACTATATTACAAGGTAGGTTAAAAACATAACATTTCAAACGCTAGTCTAAAACGATGCGTTTTAAATAAAGATTAAAAACGTTTAAAATTGTCCGCAAGACGGGTGTGAAGGGGTAGATTGTTCCTTAAGTTAGGGGCCGCAGACAAAAAAGCCCGATCTCCTAAAGCATTTTTCAGTTTTAAACTAGGATATTTCAGAGTTTATTCTAGAAATTGGCCAGTGAGGGTCAAATGGGTCCCCTTCTGATTTAGTGGGCCCTTTTCAAGAAAGGGGGTTCCCCAAAAGCATCCTCGGAGACCCAGGGGCAGTTAGTGGGGTCGATAACTGCCCCTGGGTCTCCGAGGATGCCCCAAAAGGTATTTGAGCTTATTGGTACAGACTGTTCCATGCGAAAACTAACGTTTGTTGACTTTTTGCCGCCATTTTGGAACATTTTGGGCGACTGAACATGAAGCCTTTGCTCGAATTACTGCAGAATCTCGGATGTTTGTCTAGTGAAATAATAATAGGGCCATTTATACGAGGAAAAATAAGACGCGCCTTAAATAAGACGCAAACTCTACCATTTATACAAGCATGTCTTATCTAAGACGAGAACAACTCGTATAAATGGTTCGCGTCTTATTTCTGTTCTTGACTAGATTTCATGTGAATGTTGCCCGTAGCAAAGGCAATCCAGCGTGGCGTGCCAAAAAATTAACGCATGCGTACTATGCGTTCGCGTCTTATGTAAGACGGGAAGGTCATTAATACCAAGTTTTTCTCGTCTTAGCTAAGACGCGTCTTATCTAAGAACAGGTGTTAAGGGCTGTTCTAAAATAAGACACGTCTTAGCTAAGTCGCGTCTTATTTTAGACGAAATGTGCCGTTTATACGGAAAGTTCGCGTCTTATTTAAGACGAGTCCTATGTAACACGCGTCTTATTTTTCCTCGTATAAATGGCCCTATGACTCAAACGAAGAAAAGAAAGGTAATTGAGACAGTAAAAGGTTACAAAAGTTCAAAGTAAGTTCATAGAGCGGCCGTCAAATCAGTGTTGTCAGTGATGTTTTCGAATACTTTATTTGGAAAAAAAAAACAATACTACTTATCCTTGGGTCTATTTTTTTTTTTTGGCGCGGCAACGTAAATTTTATGCGGCATTTTTTTTTTCCAAATTGCGGAAATCCCGCAAGGCAGCGCGCTAGAATAAACCCTGTATTCTAAGGTAAGACCGCTAGCTGGACGGAGATTATAGCGCGGCTGTTCTGTTATAGCAGTCAGGTCAATGAAGTAACCAGGCGCATGACCGATCGTAGATGGCTTTAAAAGTAAGAAGTATTTTAAATCTATACGAAATTTTACAGGAAGCCAATGTAACGAACATAGTACTGGTGTTATGTGACTGAAGCGAGGAACATTAGACATAAGCCGAGCAGCTGCATTCTGCAAGCGTTGCAGGTAAAGTAGATGAACAGATAGAAGGCTCTTAAAGTAATCTATACGACCTATGATCAAAGCGTGGACCAAAGAGCGTGCAGATTCCTGAAACATACTTTCGGATACGCCGGATATTGTATGAATGGAAAAACCCAGATTTGCAAGTTTTGTGGATCTGTTCCTGGAGCTTCAAATTATAATCGAACCATGTCCCTACATTCTTGCCACAGTTGCCCCTTTATTTAGCCAGCTTAAAGTCCTTGACATATTTAGCATTAATTCATTTTCTGTCGCTACTTTTATGTATTCTTATCACCATTGTCTTTTGCCTCGTAGTTTTGGTGACTTGTTCTTATTAAGTAGTAATCAAGTCCATCAATACGAAACTCGACTAGCCTCTCAGTATAGACCTCATTTTTGTAGAACAAATATAAACTGATCAATTTAGTATCCTTTGCCGAGGACCTAAAACCTGGAATTCGTTGCCTCTTTCACTAATTAGCTCTCCTTCTATATTTGTTTTTTAAAAAAATGTAAAGAATTATCTCACTGATAGCCCATCTGTCGCTTAATTTTCTGATCTTGCTCACTCTGCACTCAGCCATGAATTTAGTTCATTAGGCAGTTGAAGGAAGCCTATTAATATAAGCTTCAAGCTTCTTTAGGCTTCCTTGTCACTTTAATTTTATAATTTAATTAACAACTTTTGTTCACGTTGTATAAGGTTTTGTGAGTTACTTGAATAAATTAATTTATTTAAGTAATAAAATAAATGAACAGGAGCGACGTGAATGCCCTCTACGGTAAGACTAACAATATTTACTCTGGAATTTGCTGAACTTAGTTTTGTCGTCATTAAGTTTAAGCTTATCCGTAGATGGTATTTGATGACTTCAAAGAGTTTGCTAGAGTAAGTGGTAAATAACAACGGCCCCAAACACGGTACTTGTAGAACGCTATAAGGAAGCCTAAAACTTTCAGATGTGCAGCCATTTAGCGAGACTCATTGCGACCTGTTGTTAAGATAAGACGACCAGTTCAGGGCGGTTCTATTAATGCCGATACTTGACTTAAGACGAGCAAACAGAATAATGCCGTCAACAGTGTCGACGGCTGTGCTCAAATCTAGAACTAGAAGGGATACATGCTTGAAATTCATGTTCATAAGAATGTCATTCTGGACCTGGTATCTGTGTTGTGACCCTTTCGGTAGGAGGATTGTAGGGTTTAGATAAAGGGCAAATCGACTCATATGACTGTGAATTTGGTCGAAAACAGCACGCTTTGTTAGTTTTGATATANAAATTATAATCGAACCATGTCCCTACATTCTTGCCACAGTTGCCCCTTTATTTAGCCAGCTTAAAGTCCTTGACATATTTAGCATTAATTCATTTTCTGTCGCTACTTTTATGTATTCTTATCACCATTGTCTTTTGCCTCGTAGTTTTGGTGACTTGTTCTTATTAAGTAGTAATCAA